TTTCCTTTGTACATAGCTGGAGCGGGTCCGAGGAGCCTGTTAGATAGGCATAGCGGGGTAGGAATAATAATAATAATAGTCTTTACTAGCTAGCTCTATGTGACGAATATCGGTCCCCTACCACTGAAAGGGACTCCTCAGACTGAAGGTTGACTTAGACGGGGTGAGGTTCGGTAGAGCCAAAGGGTCTACAACAAGTGCACAAGTGTGACGAATCTCGGTCCCCTACCACTGAAAGGGACTCCTCAGACTGAAGGTTGACTTAGACGGGGTGAGGTTCGGTAGAGCCAAAGGGTCTACAACAATTAACACAAGCAAGTGTTCACACAGTGGTAAAGACAACTGCTTGCATTGCTTACTGGAGAACCTTCTGAAGGTCCTCCTAACGAGTGACTATCTAGCTAGTATATATAATCCTTGTTTCACCATGCCCTGGCGACTATCACCAGTGACTGTTCTGTATTCACTGTTGATACTCCGTTGTCGAGAGTGACTTCCCATTATCACCAGTGACGGCTTGATCTTGGCAGTGATAATCCTCTGATTGGTCCGTTGAATGATTGGTCGCCAGTCGTCCCACGGACCCGGCTGCAGCCCCTCAGGCCGCCTACAATGGTCATTCCATGACACTTAGCTATATACGGTTATAGCGCCTAGGCTTATAACTGTTATATAGTTGTAGTTATCTAGTAAGATAAGAAGTGTATTAAACTATCTGATGAGTCTAGGAAGTGGAAAGATGGAAGGAAAGGAGTAACTATATATATAGGAAACCCTATGATGAGCATGTGATTTAGGGGTATGATAATAGATAAGCCAATTTGTATTACAACCTGTTCGCGCTTAGCAACGCCCTGCAGTTCCTCATCACGGGCAAAGAGGTTTTTCCTGATCTAGTCCGTTCTTCTGAAACTGATGACGATATCCTGCGATGGTCCTACGAAACAGAGCCTGAGATTGAGCGGCGTTTCCGCGCCCGCGAGTTCCCCCCTGACGACGAGCACGTGTGCGCTGCTGTTACGGCGCGATGCTGGCGCCAGCTCTACACAACAGCAGATCAAGTGGTGACCGACCTCAAGGCAATCCAAGCCGCCATTGCACGTGGTAAAAGGCCCGAGACGTGTGTATCCCCACCGGATGAGCATGAGCAACCCTGTGACGAGAGGTGGCTCTATGGGCTCTGTGAGGAAGATACGCACTTTAAGACACAGCCAAACCGCGATTTGATAGGTTATTAAGGGACAGAGTTGGAAGTTGGACATCTAGTAAGGGCTTTCAACTAGATGAGCTAATGTTGCACAGGTAGTCACACGACACAAGGATATGGTGGCCATACGGTATTCAGTTCTAAGGAACCAAAGGCCAGCCTACCGGGTGCCGAGATGGTGGCTAGCGTCTCGCTCTTGCTGTTATCCATCCTCAATGCCCACAAATGGAGGAAAGTCCAGCTCGGCCTTACTGCTTCGCGCCAGTATAAACCCAAAACACCCCCCCCCCCCCCCCCCCCCGCCCTCTCCTCCCCGTGGAACTCAATGCCCATGCTCTTCACGAATATGGCCGGCCGCGACTTCAACTAAGCAAGAAACATCTTCTACTCGAGATGCAGCACATCTTGCCATGATACTTGTTAGCGCGAATCCTCTTGGACAGTGTCGCTTTGGTCGTCGGACGGGTCACCGATTCTTCGCTGTTCCTGGTCCTGCCTAGCACTTCGGGCAAAGACCGGTCGCTTTTGTCGACTGGGCGAAATCGACGTCCGTATAGCCTTAACTGTCGCTTTTGCCGCAACGCGGCTTGGGATCGTACCTCTTTACGACATGTCTCGGAATTGCTGTACAACCGACGCATATTTTTTCATGTAGATCAAACGCTGCACTTGTGATCATAGCGGAGGGTTGTGTCGACTGTTTGAGATGTGATTGTCGCCACTTAGCTGATGGGGGGATTTGTTTGAGGAAGACATAGACATATGAACGGAAAGAGGTACCCGCAGGAGCTCCTTTTATCTTGATCTAGACTCTGAGCCCAACATTCAGGTGTACCTTACTCACCGTACTCTCGCCACTCCCGCGAAGGTCACGGTCACTTACCAACCGGGCTGCAACGAACAGGTCGCGATGAGTCTCAGAGGTACGGTGTCTTGGATTTCCTGGCACAAGGTTTCAGAACCTGTATACAGTAGTATGATAGTAACGAGTTGAGGAACCAGCTTCCGCGTGTTGGGTGGTAGGTGCCCATGCGATCTATGAGCACCATTCTGTACCCGAGTTGTGTGAAGTGACACAGCTAACTAATGCACCTGGAACAGTTAGCTCCCAGGCAACCAACTCTTGCGTCAAATGCGTTGCTTCAGAGTCAACCCAATCGGCTTTGGCGGGTTCAGCCTGGGTGTTGCACACATGCCGCGGGAATTGGCAGGAACGACCTCTCCTTGGGTATCTGCTAGGCTCCTGCTTGGTGACAACTTCACCACTCAGTTTCGCGAAGCATGGCGCACATCAAGACCTCAATATCACTGATCGGACGTTGGGTGACAGAATGTGAAATTGTGAATCATCGAAGCAGCTTTATGGTCTCCAACCAACCATGGCCTGCACATCGTGTCTTCCCTCAGAGTAATAATAAAATGCCCTCCCAGGGTGGATCTAATGTGAAGCACTCAAAGGTCTCACGCACAACATACACTGGACGCCGTCTCATCAGCGCCACAGAAGCACCTTCTTTGCTCCTCCCACCTCGCCGGCGCTAACACTACATACAACACAGGTACCCACTGGGAAGTGATTCCCTCACTGCAACCACCTCAACCCAGCCCTTCCCACCAACGCCGCCATCGTCACCGGAAACCCACTAATCGGCACGGGCCTCTCAACACCCCTAAACTTCACGCCCACAACATGCAAGCTCTGACTGCCCACCTCGTCTCGGAAGGTATACGCAACATTGACATGGCACTGGCCGCCCGTGTCATCGCTTTGGTCAACGCACTCGGCGAGCCTGTATTCGCATCCGGTCCGGGGGTCCATGATCGGGTCCCAGTAGCACACGACATTTTCGTGCACATCATTGTAGTCCGAACCACCGTGTCCTCCCCGGCCTTGGGGGATGACAGTGCTCACCAGACTCTCTGCCTTCTCCGTGAGCAGCCTGCGCAGCCCGCTGCTGTTGCGCGGCAGACGGCACCGGATCCAGCCCGACAGGACCTGCGTGCCGGGGGGTAGGCGGTGGATACTGCTGCTGCTGGTGCTAGTGCTGCTAGGACTGATGGGGGTGTTGTTGTTGTTCAAGTTGTTGGTGTGGTCCAGCATGGACAAAGGCGAAGGCGAGGGTGGGGAAGGGTAGTCGTCGGGCTCAAAGAAGAAGAGGCTTGCGAGGAGGCGGTAGGCGGTGCGTTTGATCATGGCGCTTCCCTCGGGAGATTCAATCCAGTCATTGACCGCCGCAGTGATATCGTCCATCTTGGCATAGTCGTCCAGCGCGATGCGGTCGCCGGCGACGTCAAGGGGCGGGTCTAGGCGGTGGAGCTTTGCTTTGACGGCGGACGGGACAGACCGCGCAAAGTTATGCCATGACTCGTCCGAGTTGCTCTGATGCATGAGCATGTTGGCAAAGGTGCGGATGATGCCGTTGGGGATGAACTTTTGCAGCCCGCCGCCATGGGCATGCTTTGCTTGCTGTCGGCCCGTGCCCAGGGAGACGAGGAGATCGAGCGAGGCCGCGCGGTTCGGCCAGAGGGCTTTTGTCTCGGCGTAGGCCGTCGCGGCGGGACAGTTTGCGAAGACGGCGCCATCGACATACATGGTGCCCGTGCTGGTCTTTTTGAAAGGGGGTAGGTAATACGGCGCTGCCGAGGTTGCCAGCGCGGCTTCCCAGACTCGCATGTCTTTGCTGTCATTCTCCTCCCGCGTTTCGTTGTGGCCCTGGGGATGGTTATAGTTTGTGATCAAAGTCATTGTGTCGGCGTATCCGATGGACGATGTGACGGCAACGCGGGTGCTGATTTGGCTGTGCCCAGGGGTAAGCGCGGGAGCAAACAAGCTCGTGCCGCGTCCGAATAAACCTTTAGTGGCCTTCTCGAGAGGCGCCGCGGAATAGATACTGTCTGTAATATTGAATAGCATGATGCCGAGCTGAGACCAGAATTTCTTTATCATGGACTGGCTGAAGGTGCTAGTTGCAGTGTCCTTGAAGAACTCTGTGAGCTGCTCGAGCGTCTTATTTTGTGGCGTGATGGCAACCGCGAGGGCAATCAAACCCCCTGAGACCAGGCACGGGTCAGCGAATAAGTCTCTCTGCTTGTGTGTCACCCTAGAGACAGTCTTACCAGTGCTAGTCCCAACGATGAGATCAAAATACTCCCGGATTGGCACTCCGAGCCCAACCTCCTTTTCCAAAGCCTGGAGCATAGCCAGCTCAGCGACTCCACGAATGCCGCCCCCGTCCAGCGTCAACACTCTGACACCGGCGCACCTCGGCTTCAGCTGGATGTAAGTAGCGGCGAGGCCCGGGCCGGCTTTGCCACAGAGAGGGCATTCCGTAAACAGCCAGGTGCTTTCCCTCACCGTGTCAGGGGTGCCCAGCTCCTGGACACAGCAAGGACAATAGGAATGTCCACAGGCAAGCACATGGTCGGGGATGCCGTCAAGACACGAAAAACATGTCTTGTAGCTCTTGATGAACTCCCAGATGGCCAAGTGCTTCCGATGAAGGCTCTGTCGCCGAGACCTAAGACGGTCCGCCAGGCTTGGGAACCCCGGAGAGGCGCTCTGCGGGTGCCTGATTAGCTCCTGGTACGTGACTGCGTACTGCTGCCGCACGGCCGTGATCCAGTCGCCTCTGTAGCCGTTGTGCCACTTCAACCGACGCTGGAATATCCCAGGGATCACCTTCCCCGTTCTTGATGCATGCGTCAAATGTGCCCGTTCGGGTCTGGAGACACATGGGCTGCCGTCCGGGAACTTGTAGATGCAGCTTTCGTAGTTGGCGAGATATTCATTGATGCCGGCTTCGCAGGTGGGTTGAAGGCTCCGCTCGAAGGCCTCACTCGGGCTTACACCTGGTTTGTTGGGATATTATTAGCTCAGGTTCTGCGCACCCCCTGAATACAGTAAACATAAATATCGAGGAGCTACCTTGATAAAACCTCCTATACGTCCACGTCAGCAGCGAACTGACTACAACGTCAATCACCATCCGGTCCAAATCCCGGTGCTCATGGACCAGTTTCTCCCCGTGCTCGTAGGCATGACGGAGAAAGTTCCCCAGGTGGCTTCCCATGGTCTCTGGATTGGGGTTGTCTCGACGCGCAGCCAAGAAGAAGTCAAACGGATCCTCAGAGGAGGTGAAGTGTGCAAATGCTTTGCTCAATACCCTAGACAGCTCAGGGACGTTATATTTCATGTTGGCGGCCGCGCCGATGGATTCTTCGTCCCGAACCGCTTGCTCAATCCGGATGCGGAGTCCCGCCCACTGCTTGACCACGCTGTGTGGTCGGACCTTGGGATTGTCCTTGCTCGGGACATACCAGCAGATGATCTTCCGAAAGAGTACTTCATAGAGTCTCCTGTTATCCTCAATGTGCTTCCGGAAGTCTGTTTCACTCCTGTTATAGTCCTCAACAAAGGCTTTGAGAGTTGGCGAGGTTGTCCAGAGGTTGGGGTGGTTCTCCAGATATTGGTGAGCGAGCTTTGCTTCGTCGTAAAACTCAGCTTTGTGGAGCTCGGATTTGTGACGGACAATGATCAAGGTTTTGCGGGAAGGATGGTTGATAGACTTGTACACAGCTTTGGAAGCCCATTCCAGCACGGCTTGGAGCTGGGGCATGATCTTGGTGTCGTCTCTCGTCACGAACACAATGACATCGCTGATGGCGTAGAGGAATCGGGCATAAAACAAGTCGACTCCGTCCTTCCCTTTCCGTCCGTAGCAGGGAGCGGTAACACGGTATTGATAGTCAGGGGTAGGACCAATGGATGTGGATCTAGTCCGGTTTCCTTCAGGGGGTACGGCAAGTCTCCCCCTTGTCCCCTGATCCACTTCATCAGCATGGAGAATCTCGGCATCTGTGAGAGCAGCTCCGGCTTTTTGGCCTTCGCAATCAACGAAAAGAATGGGATGCTGCTCGTTCGCCGAGGCTGCAGAATCCCTTGCCAGGAGCACTGCAGCCCCCTCGTCCCGGTACAGGTGCACACCCTTCGTCGTGGGGTTCTTGATGCTGTCCAAGCTTGCAGACCTCGTCACCGGCCACTGAGTGGCTTGCTGCCTCATAGCGGCAACAAGGGTGCTGATGTTGCCATCTTGAGCCATGTCCCCTCCCCTAATGACCCCGGCCCTTGCTGCCAGACCCATCATAATCATGGCGCGCACGAGGCTCGATTTGCCGGCACAGGTATCGCCCACAAAGGACACGAACCTGGGGAAGTGATTTGCCGTCTCCGTGTTGCCTGAAAAGTTGGGGTCGCAAAGCTGTCTGAAGCGATCGTATACCTCGAGAAGGGGGGTGCCATGTCCTGAATAACAGCGCTGCTGTTCATAGCCGGCATGGTTCTGCCGAATGTTGAACCAACGAGCTGTGCGGTCTTGCTCGTAGAGCTCTCGCTGGCGGGCTCGGTTCTCCTCGGAGTGTGTCACGGCGCTGATGATGATCTGGGAAATGGGGTTGAGCATCCGGTGCCGCTTGGCTAACCCATGATTGCGCGGAAGATGGGAATTCCAGCAAGATTCATGGCCGTCAATGGTACACGGATTCAGACTGCACTCGGCATCATGGCAGGTGACGCAGTATATGGCGCATTGCCTATCATCCTCGCTGCTTTGGTCATCATCTCCACTCCCGCCTCTCCCGCAGTCCGAACAGCAGCGAGCATTCTCTTGCGTGACCGTCTTCTCACATTCTGGATTCGAGCAGACGTACTGTGTCAAGAAGTCTGGCATGGCGTGATTGATGAAACACTGCAGAGTTTAGGTTGACGGTATGAGAGGGGTATGAAGGTTGTGTAGTAGTTATATTGATATGGCACTGCCAGTCCAGTTCAAACGAACAGTTAAGGAGTCGGTTGTGCCAGAAGGGCAGGCTCAGACTGGGCATGTGGCTTGCTTTATATCGTCAGCTCGGTGCTGATGGTTCCCAAGGCATGCATGGCTGGGTGCTAAAGGGAACATGTAAGGATCCAAGCCACCGGGCGAGGCTTTTTCAAAGCGCCTATCTGTTTCAGAGCAGAGGGTCCGATAACCCGCTGCCAAAGTCATGTTCGATATACTAAAATCTGCGGGTTTCTGATACCCAGTACTGCCTAGTGTGTCAGGGGAAAGCTGCTCATGACCACTGCGGCAGTTTAGGTTACTAATATCCTCAGGCTTCATTGGTATCTTACTTGGTGAACTTCTATCATCTCACCGTATTCTTCCTTGGCTCGAATCTGCATTCTGGCTGCAGCTAATGCGTCGTGACCTTGATTTCGTCGTGTTCTACATTCAGTTGTAGTGAGCACGAATCTATTGAACCGAACAGCATCCAGCGGGCCGCTTGACCATATCGATGGAGGACTGATATCCATGTTCCAATAGTTCCGGGGCCTGTAGCCCAGGGTCCAGATACCTACCTACCGATAAAGCTAGGAGAATGGCGTGAGTAGGTATATGTCTGCTGGGTCATTCAATCCTCTCCTTATATTCCAACTCGGCTTGCAGCTTTTCATCCACCTGGACGTCAAATAACCGGGTCCATTTCCTGTTAGCCACGGATATGACGACCTTGAGGAGCAGCAGTGTTCCAAGTGTCATGGCCATGGACCACCCAAACCCCATCAGAGCATCCGCAACTTGCCACCTGTGCATCACTGTTAGCTGTTTCCCCGGTTTTCGAGACTACAAAGAAGCTGCCCATACCCTAGCCGCCCGGCCGTAGACCGCTCCCGGATAGTTGAGTAACCATCAAATCCGACTACATATTGCCTATTATCACCGAGATTTGTCAGCTAGCGATTCAAAAAACAGTAAGAGGGAGAGAGGAACCTACCTCGCAAAGCACCCGGTCAGGACCATCCCGATGAACCCTCCCCCAGTGTGTATCAAGAAAATGAATAGCGGGTCGCTCCTCATCAAATCCAGCAAGACGGTGCTTTTGAGGAAGAATATGACCGCAGAGGCAATCGCGCCGATGCAGCCGGCGCTCCAGACAGGCACCTAGGTTTCCATGTTGATAAGCTGGTCATGCCCCTGAATTGATGAGCATCATCACTTACATATCCGGCCGCAGGGGTAATGGCGACCAAGCCGACAATAGCCCCGTCACAGAAGTGAACAACCGACACCTTTGCTCCTCTGCGGCCCTCCCGGACAAGTTTGGGCCACTGTCTCACCGCTTCCTGCAAAGCCCAGTGCAAAAGCAACATGGTACAGGCCCCCGAGCTCGCAGAGACATGTGTTGAGATGCACGCTGAGACAGCCCGGAGGTTCCCGCCCAAGGCCGAACCACCGTTGAAACCTGCGAGACCAAGCTGTAAGACAATGTGATTCTCAAGACGTTCGCGGCCCCGGATGAGGCTGCTTGAGTAAAGATTACATACCGAACCATCCAAACCAGAGCTGCAATGTTCCTAAAATCATGTTGTTTAGACTATGCGGTGCGTCGTCTCCTAAAATTGCACTTGGGTCGAGCTGTGGAGCGGGCAGCATATGCGGGAAAACGGTTTGGCTGGTAAGCATACGTGCCGATGGGGGCGCCGGCGTAGGAACACGTGGTGATGGAGGGTGGGAAGGAATTTCTGGGGTAAGTTTGGGGTCACCCGTGCTTGAGCGGGGAGAGGCCGTTGTATTCATGTTGCTTGCCGGTGCAGTTGGGCTGGCCTCGTCAGATAGACCGCTATCCTCTCGCCTAATGGTCATCACATTTACCGGAGGGGCTGGTGTGGGCTTCGGATAGATGATTGCCCAGGCATGTGCAAAGACGCCCCAGCCATGGCGCTCGACCGCATCAAAGAGAACAACTGCGCCGACTGCAGTTCCCGATGTGATGTGTACCGCAGTGCCTCCAGAGAAGTCCATGACGCCGTGCTGGCTGGAAAAACCTTCTGGTGACCACGTCCATCTCGCAACGGGATAGTAGACAAGCAGGGACCAGAGAAGTATGAAGGCGAGGAAGCGGCCGGCCCTGAACTTCTTGATGACCCCGCCGCAGATTAGGGCAGGCGTGAAGCAGGCGAACATGCCTTGGTAGAAGGCATAGAGAAGCTCGGGAATCTTGGGCCCTGCTGCACCCACGGGGCGGACGAGCGCGCGATATAAAACCAAGTCCTGGACCTGTCCACCATACACATGCCACGGTGATCGATTCTCGGCATGGCTCGGGGAGAAGGTCAGAGAATAACCCCAGAGATACCACTTACAGAATCGTTAGATTGCGGTCGGGCGAGAATATGTGGAGGCAGATTCTGGGCCAGGAGCACGAACCTGAACAGCACAGAATGCTGCGGTGACAACGGGCATACGGAGTAACGTCAACGTTGAGGATCTGTCCACTGCGCCGGCGTAGAACATCGACAACGCGGGTATCATTTGCAGCACCAGACACGCTGATATGGTAACCCAGACAATATCCGCGCCCTGCAGTCAGGTAACGTTAACATCAATAAGGGATCATTGTGACCTGAGGGAGGGATACATACTTGGAAGAAGGCTTGAGAGTGCTGTAACAACTGATCCTCGCTCACTACCCTGCCTTCAGGGGCCCTCAACAGAGGCGGAGCAACCTCTAAGGGGTATGTAGCCATGGCCCCGTCCGCGTCCAATGCTAAAAGGCAATCGGGCGACAGTGCAAGCCACAGAGAACTCGAGGGTCGACGGGCTTTGGTTGTCTAAGGCTCGAAGCCGACACGATCAACCAACATCAGTACTAGATCTGGGCAGCGTCCTGACGCGGAGGAGTTCGTCGCACGGGGGGACCGATGAATGCATGCAAATCCGGATCATAGCAAAGGAAGCAGAGCAAGTCTGGATAGAGAAAATTGACATTCTGCCCGGCAGGGGCACAAGTGCGCCAAAGGCGCACTTATTAAGCGCTGCCTCTGAGAATGGAGTGAGCTTTGCTGAGCTGTGCGAGGCTGTGAGTCTGCGACACACCCCAACTCGACCTAGCGTGCCAAGATTCCGATGGCGTGCGTCAGTGTTATCTCCTCGGGATATCAACGATGTCTAACTAACTTACACGTGTATGTGTCGCCTCTGGGCCGCGGGCAATGAGTGTCTCTCGGTATGTTCCGTCGGGGTCTCAATGATCAATGATTGATTGATGTGGTTCGTTAACTCAGCCTCATCCGCATTTCCATTTCCTGCTTTCTATTGCCCAGACGGCACGAGATAACGATCATGTCTTCCATTGGTCATCGACTCCAGAAAACTTGGTGCTTCCAGTAGCCATATCGGTGTGGTGCTGTCGAATTGCGCAGCTAGCAACAAGCCTCCTTCAACCCACACGAGGTTCTGGTGAGGCATCCGGTCAGCACGGTGGCGGATGTATTTACAATACCTAAGGGCTTCTGTTGAATCATTAGATGCTTTTCCCCAAACGTTCGGAGACTGCCACACCCTTTGTCCCGGATCGCCCTCGACTTCCGAGCCCTCCTGGCTCATGCTTAGACCAATTTGATCAAGCTGTTGTCGTACTCGATTGCCCGATATGTCTTGGTGGTTGACGCTGCGGCACAGCATCACGAATCGGCCACATGCTCTTCCCCAGGCGGCTTGTCGCCAGGTCTAACCCAGCAACCCCAGCCTTGTCGGGTTTCCGTCTGACTGTGCGTCAAACGCAGGAACCCGGGATCGGTTCTCGTTACCTAGCCACCTTTATTCTTCAGCATGGATCATTTGAACCTCTCTTTCAGACTTCCCAGCTCAGCAAACGGGTCGGCACCGGGTCCCAGTTTCTGGGACCTTCCCTTCAAACTCTTACCCGCCCAAGTCGCCCGTCTCACCGCTCACTCTCTCCGACTCAATACCCTTGTGGGAGAAGTGAGAAGGCCCGGAAACGGGTATCAAGGATGCACCATATCGTGCTCTCTTGATGACATTCAGGGGATTCACTCGGGGGTCATCGACCAGGAAGCAGTCGATTATTTGATCTGGAATTTGGGCCGCGAACACATTCGTGGCAGTCAATCTCCGCGTCATAATCGCATCATCAAGATTGAATACCTCTCGCGAGTTGCAAATGCAGCCTGGTACTTGGAGTGCAACCCTTCCAGTCTGTGTCAACTGTGGGATCGCCTTGAGCGGCCTTGGCAGGAATTTGTCGTTGAGCACGACCGAGATGAGTTCTGTTGGAGGCGACAGCGGCCAAGCGTTTCAACTGGCAAAGCTTGTCATTATGCGAATACCGCATACATCCTCCAGAAGGATGATGTATTTGCTCAAGCTATCCAGTTCGTGGTTTGGGACTCGTTGCAGAATAGGATCGCCACATCGGTTGAGGACGAGGACCTGAGAAACATTGCTGGTAAGTCATTCCAACGAACGGGAGTCCGGAAAACATTACCGCATGTGCAAGATGCTGATTTTTCGCCAATAGCGGTGCGAGAAAGATATCTGCGAAGGGTGTTTAACCACCTCCTTACGGAAATCACACTGTTGCAGAGCTCAAAGAGGACCTGGGAAATCGCTGCTGAGATCCGGAAGAGAATCGAAGAGTCAGATCTGCTTGGCATAAGGCTTCTCAGTAACGAAGGCCCCGAAGCCGTTATCAATGCTTTGGATCACGCCTGGGGACAAGGCGAAGAAATCTTGGCCCAATTCTCCGTGTACGGGTTCATTCACCAGGTTGACGTGGTGTTGTTGAACGGAACGTCCGCGTACTGTCCCCCTCGTGTCTCAGCACCCAGTTTCAGCCCAAAAGAAGTGGGAAGGGTCAACTGGCTTGGACTGTTTCGGCTGTCGAGTAGAGATCAGTATACGGAAACGGTTGAGAAGCTGCTCAGCAGAATCAGTACCCAGATTCAGCTTGACCAGCACACTTTCACTGAATGCCTCATCAGAAAAAGGGATGACAAGTTGGAGGAATGGATAAGCAAGCTCCGGCAGTCGCCGTCGCTGCCTCCCACCCAAGCTAACGGGTCAAACGGGCTGAACGGACACGCAACCTAACAGTCCGAACGGTAGACAGTCGACACGTTCGCGGCGCTTCGCACTCGCCACCCGACCCCCAACACCAATCTGTTGCCGACCCCGAAGGTCTGCCACTCATCAACCTCACCATGTGGAAGATGATCCTCGGCTAGTCCGTCTATTAGCTCGCCGTGGGTCTGAAGCTGCACTTGGGTGGGGGGGGGGGGGGGGGGGGGGAGTGTCAAATGTCCTGCCCTCTTCCTGCCCTCCACCGAGCCTGAGCTGCAGAGGCTGGTGTTCAACACATATGTGTTTGCGCAAATCTCAAGCCCGTCAATAGCCGCCGAATCGACAAGGGGAGACGAACTTAGGACGACAGCTCCATGGAATGCGCACGCACCCAGACCCTCCACTGGGAACTGCTTTGGGTCAATCTCACCCATGGCCGAGAAGAACCCAGCCGTTGCCTCCGGTGCTTGTCGTTCAAGGCTAAAGGGGCAACAAAGCACAATGATCAATGTTTCGAGATGCCGAGTGATGATCAGGTATGGAGACCTTTTTCTGAATTGACCGAGGGTTCCTTGCTGTCCCTGGTAGATAGAGCGGCCCGAAAGGTGTGGGTTACTAGGCAACTTTAAGTTACTTCTCGGTCCGGTTGTACTCGAGCAACTGTCAAAGGAAGGGGCCAACGCCGGAGCATCAACGGTGGAAATACAGCCCGTAGATATATGTTCGGCAACACTTACCAACGATGAAGGGTCAGGAGTATAAGGTAATTCATTGGGATTCGATTAGCCGATCACCTTAGAACCTAATTTGATGCCTAAACGCTGCTAAGCGTCCGGTAACGAAGACGAGGGTCGGTAGTTTGGACATCTCAGAGCGTCACAAATGGTGTATGAAGTAGGTTGGGTTGTTTGTTTGTTGTTAGATAAAATTGCGAGTTCAGAAGCGGGTTCTCATGAGTGGAATTGCCGAAGTCAACCATGATCTGAATCATTGGTGTGGGACAAGCTATCCCTGAAACGCATGTTGGCGGCACGCTGGACCCTAACCCGAAGCGCCCCTGGGCTGCCTCTAGTGGCCACCTGTTGGAAATACACGTACAGCAGTGAGGCACGAATCCTGGGCGCATTGCCAAGTGGTGATGGAATTCTTGGTGGTTGAATTGCAGTCTGATTGATCAATTGTTGTTCAAAGTTATCCTGAATCTCAGGAGCTCTCCAGAGCCAATTTTATCCTGGTGGGCGCGTAGGAGCAGTAATTTCCGACGTCACAGGCCACGAAGTGGGCTGTGCCCAGGGGTGGTATTTCCAACACCACCATTGCCCACCAACGATTCAACACATCGCAACCGCTCATCGTCATCATTGTGGCTTGTTGGCGTGACCTCATCGTCAAGAAAACAACCAGACACCCAACTAAATAAACGCACAATGCTTTGTTCCATCCTTACATAGACGGACAGTTGGATCAGGTGGCCAGTTATAAGCTTACCTATGTTACAGGCACTTTTTATCGCTCTGCACATCCCTCGCCTGCTTTGTCCGACCGGAATTTAACCCAAAGTCCCAAACGCGCCAATAACGTCATTGGGGCTCAGACGCTCAGTCCGCTTCTTAGCCCAACCTTCTTTTTCCCAGTCGAGCCAGTCTGCCTTGCCTCAAAGAAGCTTATTTTCCGCACCACGATTTTTCGGGGGTGTAGCTCACTTTATTGTTTCTTGTCAGCTCGCTCGTTTCTTTCAATCCACCCAATGCTGGTGTCTCATCATCTCATGTCCGATTTCAATCCGACGGCATCCCCTGAAGTATGAGCGACAACGGGGCTCTTCCGATCCGGCCGGGAGACCTTGACGGCCTCTGGGACTATGTGAAGCACGATACGATTTTGAGGAGGGCCAAGTTTCTGGTACACGATGACTTGGAGGAGCCCCATCATATCAAGGAGGCCCGGAGAATCATCAAAGAGAAACACAAGAAGTGGCCCACAGCCAGCGAAAAGGAGTAGGTCGGACGGACCCAGTGAACGGAGCCTTAGCTCACATTGTCCCAGGATATGCGGAATCTTGGATCAAATCGCCTGGAATCCCAATGAAAAGCGGCTATGGAAGCGAAGCCTGAAGCACTCCTCTGACCCGGATTTCCGCGAACTGATGGGGAGAATAATGCAATCCGAGACGGATTTCTACGGATACGACAGCGAGTCTCTTGGAAGCCGCCTTCTTTACATGATAAGAGACGCCAGACAGAATCCGGATCCTCGGTCGTTCTATCCTCTGTTGAAACGGGCGGGTGTAAGCATTGACAAAGTGGTCAACTTCACCAGGAAGACTATCATGGGGGACCACCCGCAGAACCTTTCACTGCCGCTAAAGCTAGACGACAGGCGAAGGCTCTTCGTCAGTGACATGGCCAAGTTTCTGAGCGAGATGCGGGGCGGCCGCCGCAAGCTTCCTCATGCGACATACGAGATCCCCGCTACGGACAACAGGTATATCGAAGATGGAATCATGAAAATTGACAGTCACACTCTTGTGTTCGACACAACGCTCAACAGCTCCATTTTGCAGATTATCAAAGAGGCGGACCTCAAGCCGGGAGTGATCATTATGCAGTTAACATTTTGGCCTGACGGGGTCGACGAGGACCCAGAGAGTGCCAGGAATGCCTTGCCTCTGTGAGTGATTATTCGCTTAAGCTAAGGCTATGACTGACGGATCTTCGGGCGCAGGAATCACAAACTATACCACTGGCTGAGCGAGCATTATAATGTCTTCGCCCGGCACCCTGGCAGTGGTTTCGTCACCTGTAACCCGACAATCTACATCCTCAAGAAAGATACGTCGCTACGGGGGACGCTGAAGAGATCATTGTAATACGTCCCCAGGCGGTTCCAGGGGAACCTGTATGAAATAATGAATTACTCATGAGATATCTGGTCCGGCTAAAAAGAAAGGGGGTTTGGGGCTGGAACATGGTTACGCATATGATATGTGTCTTGATGAGATCGGTCATTGGTTTCTGGCACGGGAATTTGGGTGCATCATTATAGCGCTGGCGTTCTGGTCTTCGGAAGATATTGCATTCAGTGGATTGAAGAGGGGAAGAGGTCATTGTGCTTTGTAGCGGATACAATACATACCTATGTATCTGAACTCATGGTATCACCTCAACACCAAGGATCTTCATGGAGGTCACTTACATACAAACCACTCATATAACACTTAAGAACCAGTAGTAAATAGTTGAGAATAGGAGTGTACAAATTCAGTATGTACAGCCAGTACGTGCACTCGATGCACTGGACAGGGATCAACATTAACCTTATGTTGTAGTGATAGGCCAGGTGGGGCCGCTCATGAACCCTGCGTTCTGTGGCTCCGCTTTGGCGGGGGCGGGGTTCCAGAACCGTTCTGTCGCGTCGACGCGTAAAGTGGCGTTTTGTGTTTGCAAAAGCGCGATGGCATTACTCGGTACAGACGTAACACACGTCAACAAGGCCATCAAAAGTTACAGCGTTGAGCGGCAACGAAACGAGCCACAGGCTTTTGGAGCGGCAGCCAACCCAGTATTTCCAGCAATGACGGTATCACAGGCCGAACCTGACGCCGTGGCGCCGGCAGCAATACGCCCCAATCCTCACCACGAGGAGTATCAGTACCTTGACCTGGTCCGCGAGGTCCTCGATCATGGCGAGCTACGCCACGACCGGTATTCTATCCAGCGACCCGACAGTTGTCCTTCCAACCTACTAACGCTCTTCAATTCCGTAGCACCGGCACAGGCACCTACTCAATCTTCGCCCCACGACCGCTAAAATTCTCCCTCAACCGCTCCGGGACGCCCATCCTCCCGCTCCTGACCACAAAACGCGTCTTCACCAAAGCCATAATTGCCGAGCTCTTGTGGTTTATATCAGGGGACACCTCCGCCAAAACGCTTTCCGCCCAAGGCGTCAAGATCTGGGACGGCAACGGGTCGCGCGAGTTCCTCGACAAGCTGGGGCTGACGGCACGGGCCGAAGGCGATCTGGGCCCCGTCTACGGGTTCCAATGGCGGCACTTTGGGGCCGAGTACGTCGATGCGCAGACCGACTATAGCGGACAGGGGGTGGACCAGCTGGCGCGCATCATTTCGACGCTCAAGACGAATCCGTACGACCGGCGGCTGATTCTCAGCGCGTGGAACCCGGCCGACCTGTCCAAGATGGTGCTGCCGCCGTGCCACATGTTTGCCCAATTCTACGTTTCCTTTCCTGGTTCCCGCACCTCGCCGCCCCCCAGCTCCGAGGATCAAGGACAACAACCCCCGACCAAAGGCCACCTGCACTGCCAGCTGTACCAGCGCTCGTGCGACATGGGGCTGGGCGTGCCATTTAACATCGCTAGCTACGCGCTGCTCACGCACATGATTGCGTACGTGTGTGATCTGGTCCCTGGGAGCCTGACCCACGTCATGGGCGATGCGCACGTCTACCTGAATCACATCGAGGCGCTCGAAACACAGCTGCAGCGGGAACCAAGGGACTTTCCCGAGCTAGAGATTGCGAAGGACAGAGAGCGGGGAATTGATGGGTGGAAGGCCGAAGATTTCATCATCAAGGGATATAATCCGCATAAGGTCATTGCGATGGAGATGTCTGTGTAAGAACTATCTTACAAGCATGCTGAGGCTTGTGCTAGCCCTACATCAAGTGGTGCCGATGGCTGCGGGCAGCCCTCCCAGCGTGTCATGGCTGATGCAGGGGCTCGAGGGAGTGAATTCACCTTTTGATACAGACAGTTTTGTTGATCGGCCGAGATCCACGTCGCTCACGCTTGTTTCACGAGGCCCAGGCTGTAGCATGTCTTTAAAACATCGGCTTTTACAAATGGGATATGCCGAAAGCTTCGAATCAGTACATGCCACCAGCCAAAGGAGTCCGCTGCTCACAGCACTTTTCACAGCACTTTTCACAGCACTTTTCACAGCACTTTTCACAGCACTTTTCACAGCACTTTTCACACCCAACGCAGCTTGTGTTTCTGCGGTTCTAGCCATGTATTCTTTGCTATCAACCTCATGTCTATATCTGAGGGACTGTCTAGGACGTCAAGTCACTTTTAACCCATCGTATCTCGTACTCGTACCGTCTGTGAAGTGATGCCATATGCTTTCGAAGCCCAAAAGTTTTAAGAGCAGGGATTCCTTGTTTTGTTTCTTCCTTTTCTTCCCCTCTGAACATCAAAGACAGCGCAGTAATTTCGAGTGGTATCGATGCCATATGTGTGCCAGCTCCCAAATCTCAAACCCGGGATACGGTTGATTCATTCACTCTTCAGGCAGCAGGCTTCGGATGAACTGGAACATCCTTGGTCTGCGTGAAATGTCTGGGCAAACGGTTCTCGCCCTCAGCATAAGGGAACCCGGCCTCTTCGCGCGCCATGTCGTTGACCCACTTCTCGTTACCCTTCAGGCCTCCCTTGCCGTGCTTCTCGACACCAACCTCGTTCCACTTGGCAGCGAGGTAGAACCACGCAAGTGCATTCCCGACAGTGCCAACTTCATCCGAGACACCTGTCGCGGCCGCTTGGCTCATCTTCTTCCAGAGTGCGTCATCCGTAAAGAGCTCAATCAAGTGGGTGGCAACAGCCTTCCAATCGCCCGGTGTAACAAGGAAGCCGTTGACCTTGTCCTTGACCTGCAGAGGGATACCACCAGTATTGCTCACGATGACGGGGCGGCCGGCGTGGAGAGCCTCAGACACCTTGACCTCAAAGCCCTCGCGGGTCGAGAGCTGGAGAACCACATGGGCGTTGGCGAGAAGAGTGTTGATGAGCTGGTCATTGGGATCAAGACGCATGACGCTGACGTCCTTGACAAGGTCTGGGTAGTATGTCTCGAGCTGGCTCATGGTCTGATCATAAATCAAACTAGCATCGGGGTCATCGACTGAGCCATTGCCGCAGACGACGAGCTGGGGCACGTCAACGATGCCGGCCTGCTCGCACCGCCGGCGGAACTCGGCGTACGAGTCGATCACGGTAGGGATGCCCTTGGAAGGATCAAAACGAGCAACCTGGATGATGTACTTGCGGGCGGGCCAATTGAGCTCAGTCCTGCATGGGTCAGCATTACTGCAGTGTCCCTTGGCGACTTAGAGACTTACATGCGCTGCGAATGGCAGGCGACATTGTAGATGTGGCCATAGTAGCCGGCATCCCACTTGTTGAGATGCTTGTTGAGGCCATCCAACCAATCGGTAGTAGCGGGCAGATAGACGACCTTCTCACGAGGGACTGTGTGGGGGACAAAGATGGGAATGGGGTGGCTGATGAACATGTCGCATCCCTGAATGTTGCTCCAAAGGAAATCCCATATGTCCGCCTGCGGCGAGCCAGCCTTGGCGACCAGGTCGCTCCGAATCTGGATGTGAGATCGGTACAGAACCGGACGGTCCGGGGTGACTTTCTTAATCAGAGGAATGAGTCCAGGCATTTGCGGGTCATCAATCTGTGCTCAATGTCATCAGCATACTTGCAATGGCAGGGCGAGACAAATGCCTCCCCCACGGAATCCGCATGGGGGAGGTCATGTGGCAGGAGCTGCAGCAGTCGCACACCGCTGGGCTTGCACACAGTATGGTTGCACATTGGGGTCGGTGAGGGAATAATAATGCGGCGCACAGAACGAGGGGAAAATAAGACAAAAATGAGAAATTTCACTTACGATCACGACATCAGCACCACCCTCCTCCGGTGTACGGAGAGGACCGCCCTCGGAGAACCAGTATCGGTTCGCATTTTCGGTGATCCAGTCAATGATGGCCTGCTTCTCCTCGGCGGAGATGCGTTGGTCCGGATGGCTAACGCCTTGCAGGATGTTGTGGATGTTCTTGGTGATGCGGAATACACCGGGCCGGGGTTTCGGCACTTCATAGCATTAGCGGAGCCGTCAACACTATCGAGAAAGAGTTTCTACACTCACCGTACCAGGTCAAATCGACACCCATAAGGCGGGAGAATCGTACCAGTGCGTGTCGCATGAGAGCGACACCACCGCCCTGAGGAGTAGAGCTGAAGAAGGCAATCTTGGTCTTGTTGCCCCTGAGCTTCTTCGCGTACGTCAACATGGTTTCCCACGTAGCATGGCCGCATGTGTCCTTGTGATTCTGGACAGTGGTAAGGTGGGCGCGGAAGCCAGCATCCGTCTGGACAACACCCCTCCATCCGACTTGCAGAAGAGGGACAAGAGAAGGGCCGAAATTCCTGCATCCATATGTCAGTCGGTTCAGAGCTCCAAGGCATCGAATGTCGACGTACATGATGCACTTGCGTGCCATGGAATCTGCCTGCTCATCAACGCGCTTGACGTCCCAGAACGACTTCTCCTTGTGCTCGTCGTCCGGACGCATCACGATGGGCACAATGTCCAGCTCCAGCCAGAGTCGGGAGCACAAGCTGGGGCTCATATACTTGAGCGTCGTTGGGAGACCGGCGCCGATGAACTTGGAGAAGTTCTCGTGCTCATACTTCTCAACCTCAGAAATGACATAGTCGGCGATAAGGTCGGCACCCATCTTCATGGCGTCATCAAGCACGATATGCTTCACCGAGAAATCCACCAAATAGACTGTGTCATGGATGGCTAGGGCAACTACGGCTGTGTGATCATCAGAGAACACAGCCGAAATACCCAGATAGAGCGTCTTGAAGCGGTTGAGTTAGCGCAACGTGCTGGTAAACACAACCATGAAGCGATGGGTAAAGCTGTGGGGTGTCTCCAAGCTTGGTGCCAACGAGATTTATGACAGAGACCAAAAAAGCTGCCTTGTTACTTCGCACACAAGAAGAGATGTTGGGTGGTTCGATTCGCATAAAGAGAAAGGTAGATGAACAAAAATACAGCTCGACCTTGGTTCTACTTCCATCGCGAAGGACCAAACGAGACTCGCGAAAATGGGAATATGGAATACGTACCGTGAGAGCAGGACCGAATTGACCCTCCTTCTCGACCAAAGTGCTCATCTGACGCTTTCGGTGCACCGAAGTGCCCGTCGAGAACTTGCGACCCTTTTCGAACGCCATGACTGCGTGCGCTAGGGGACGGATACTCTTAGGATGGCGATGGTTCTCGTTGTTGGTGTGTTGATTAGGCGTAGCGAACCCGCTGGACGGTGGAAATGGTTCGCTACTATCAAGAGACCGGACTTGATCTCGATGGAGATTGTTGAGGGAGTCGGGTTGAAAGTGTGAAGTAGATATTTGGGAGGCGAGAGGTGGGTTTATAGCACTGGCATGGGCAGTTTCTAGTGGTGCCTGAACTGAGGGGGGCGACTGTAACGGGAAAGAGCTTGTGTCGGGGATTTGCTGGGATCGGTGTGGCCGGGAAGGCAGGAACGTGACGGCCGTATCGAAAAGTTGCGGTGCTCCTTCCTGGTGCTGACCCGGGTCGATGGCCGTGCCTGCCACGGGGGGCGGCGGGCTGCGTGCTGTTTCTGCGTCGAGGCGGTGACCGCGAGGCAAGTCGTCGTCCTGCAGCTGCAACTGCTCCGCACCTACCTGCGGGCCGGGGTGCAAGTCCGCATGCCGCCGTTGACCCTCCCTCCTTTGGTTCGGCATGGAGGTGGGGAGGTGGGGTTTGGTGGCAGCTTCCTCCCTTTCCAGAATGCTATGATCCTGTCCTGTAGGTCTTTGGGCCATGTTTTTACAATTTCCGCTTTTCCGTCTTATCCGCGGTGTTGTCAAACCTGATGGTCTGATACATTTGCGGTATTAGTGCTGCAAGTCAGGAAGCCAAAAAATTCTAGGGGCGGTTGTCACTTGGCTGTGTAAGCCAGGGGTAGGACAGGTCTCTGTGCCCCGCGTCGAGCAAGTCTCCTTCCGCGGCCAGCGACTGCTGCTTCCAGGCTTGCTGCATGCCAGTTCAGCAATCCCAACTTCCGTCCGCTATCGGTTAGACAGCTAAGCTAAGGTACGGATATTGTACACCTAGTGTTGCCGGCAGGGTACCCTACGCGGACTGTCACTGAACCCAGCCTGCGCTCATGCATGCGACACCGAGTCCGAAAGGTTCATTGGACAGGGACTACCATGCCCACGACGAGTCGGCCTCGAAGCCCTGTCCCATTTGACTCGGGATGCGGCTAACGATGTCGGTGAGATGCCCAACCATCCCACCGAACCAGACCATATTGTGACACCAGAGCTCCGGACTCGCTGAGCTCTAGCGGGGTGAGAGATGGATGGGGGTTTGTCCAATGTCAAGGGAACGGTGACTGTCCGCAAACTGTGGAAATCCAAGGGAGCAAATAGATGCAAAAATGTCACTCACTCAGTTTCGAGCAGTAGTAGCTGTGAGATCGATATACTTGGGTGTAAAGGCACCAACTCGATAGACAATAAAACAACCGTTTAATGGAATCTCTCCGTTTCTTGTGTAGTTCACTCCGTTACACTCAAGTCAAAGATGAGTAGCGGTCTGCGTCGGAAACGAATAGCGTCCTGCCTAGATAGGTACACAATGAACCTATATAAACGTAAGTGAAGTGTGTCCAGCACCGTCGCTTCGCGTTAAGGGTTACTGGTCGTGATGTCAACGATGGAGATCGTTCCTTAGTGGGGTAGCTGTCTAGGTGAACCTGGCTTTTCGCTGTGGGGAAAAGCGGGATATGGTGATTAGCGCACGGGCAAACGAAGAGACCCTGTCGAGCCCGTGGATCGGAGAGGAAACAAAGAGGGAGGTGAGGGAGGGGACCTTAAAATGATCGAAAGGGCCCACGGGAAAGGCTGCGAGGGACAGGCTGTGATACAGACCTCGGCGCGGAATCAGAATCTTTGTTCATACACAATTCCTCGTATTAGTGTAGATTTTGCCATGTAAGAGTGGGCAGTTCATGGGAAAGGGGTTCAGTTCATACAGCACGCAACTTAGTGCTGCGAGCAATGAACCCGTGAGCTCACATTGACACGCCACTCCCACATGGTTTGCGACTCAGGATAAACTTGAGTGTTAATTACAAACCTGCCATCCTCGGAGCAAAAGCAAATGTCATCATGAGTTCGGACGATATTAACCACGCTTCTACTGCATACTATAGAAAGGAAATACTGGAGGTGTGCAGTACAGTACCGGGGAGTACATACCTGAGGTAGTTATAGGACTTGGTAGGTAGTGTGTGTAGGTGAACAAAGCACGCAACCTTACGATCATGTGGCTATGTGTCGTGAGATCTCGCCGCCAATCACCTTTCGTCCTGTCCGTTGTCCATGGATCAGCCCGTGATTGTCAGCTCAGCATCCAGGTGTCCGGTAGGCTCTTTTTTTGCAACACTTTCCTGGATTGCTGGCAACAGCAGATTTGAGCACCCCGACGTGCAAACAGTTGTCTCAGGAACTTAACAACTGAGGTTGAAATTGTGGGCCGACGAGTGCAAAGTCGATTGGTGTTTCCGCCTGGCAAACACTTTTCCACCCTGAAGGCCTGAACTCTCTGGGTGGGGAAAGTTGAAGCCCGGGGTCCCATCTCCGGGGTGCGAGGGTACCTCACACCAGTGGGTACGTACACGTACTACATGGGAGTGATCCAGCCAGCCGGGGTTTGTTACCGCTCTGTCAACGTTCCCGTCTTTCACGGGGAGTAAGTTCGCTATGCTGTGCATTTCTCTCACGACAGATATATTATGTTTAGATGGCCGTACCATAATCATCACCCACGACCGAGAGCCGGAATAAGCCGCCAAGGAAGCGAATAAGTGAAACCTCAGCTCTGCAACCCGACAGACGGGAATCCGGCGCCGGCGAGGTCCGCAAACGCAGACATAGTGAAATACGACTCCCTCTGGAATAATTTTAGACAAACTGCTGCCGTTTACCCGGTAGTCGATGATGCGGGCATTCGTGTTGTCGTCCTGCTGAAGCAACAGTTTGCAATGTCGATGCTGAGATGACTCTAGGAATTGACGCAAATAGCCCTCTTAAAGTCTACCTACTTATTTCAGGCTGGAACACAGTCTTCAGCGTCAATTGCCAAGGAAAGCTAGGCGGTTATCAGAACATCAAAAGTATTGACAAAGTCAACATCCAGAAAGCAGCAACGCAAGGCATCAGATCTAAGAGTCCAACTCGGCCTCGACCCCACCCTCACTGTCCGGAACCTGCAATGAGCCCACGCAAACATTGTACACACCCTGCCCTCTGTGCTTCTCCTCTGAAAACAAACCTAGGCTTTGTCAAACCTCGAAGCAACAGTCTTCCAGTTGATGACGTTCCAGATGGCATCGAAATACTCAGCCTTACGGTTCTCATACTGGAGATAGTATGCGTGCTCCCACGCGTCGATGCCCATCAGGGGAGCATAAGGGCCCGTAACAGGGTCCTGGTTCGCGCGCGTCACCAAGCCGAGAGTGCCGCTGGTCTTGTCCTTGACCAGCCACGCCCAGCCGCTGCCCTGGATGCCAGCCAGAGCAGTGTTCATCTGCTTGCGGAAATTGTCAAACGAGCCAAAGTCGGAGTCAATGGCTTTCTGTTTTTGAAAGGGTCAGCACTCTCTCTGACTCAGTAGTTCCAGCCCGGATCCCTCACCTTCAGAGCGCCATCCGGCTCGCCACCGCCTTCTCTGCTAGCTGCGGCCAAGTTCTCCCAGAATAGGCTGTGGTTGAGGTGGCCACCACCGTGGAAGTTGAGTAGGGGTGCCATAGATGCCGCCTTGGTGAAATCGCCCTTGCTCTCGGCCTCGGCAATGGTGTCGAGGGCGCTGTTGAGCCCGTTTACATAGGTTTGATGGTGCTTCTTGTGGTGCAGCTCCATAATCTTGCCCGAGATGTATGGCTCGAGAGCGCCATAGTCGTCTGCGCAGATGCAGGCGTTAGCAACTGTCGCACCTGACAGCTGGCAACTCGTCCAGGGATCGGACGATAGAGCCACATTCGGCGGGGGGGATCCTGTATGTATGGTGTGTTTCCGTGCCCTACTTACATGGCAAGTCAGGGAGCGTGGCCTTGCTGCGAACGAAGCTCGTGCTAGCCAGGGCACTAGCGGGCTTCAGAGCTCCAGAAGCTCTAACAGCTCCCCGCAGAGCAGGAACAGTGCGAAGGAGGGTGGAAGACATGGTAACGTTGATTTTTTCTGTATTGTGGGAGTCAATTGAGCGTCGCGAAGGTTGAACCAGATGTTGCCGTCTTCTAAACCTGGGATGGATTTAATACGCTGTAGAATCGAGGGGATTCGACGATGCCAAACTTGCTCGGCGATCCGAAGAAACTCGGTGGAAGCTTCGGCTGCTCACTCACCGTTTCGTCATTGCCCCACTCCAAGTCCAGCTAAAAAGGTACGTACCTGCATTCCAGTAGGTGTGGCTTTGGTGGCGGGCTAAGCCGGTGAAACTCAGCCACACCACAGCATCGCGTGCCCTTTCCAATCGCGACCAGAGGTCTTTCCTTTCCAGGAGCCCCAGTTCGCCAAAGACAGCCCTCTCATCTTCCTTAATTCTTTCCCCAACAGTGCCTTATGCGTTCGGCATCGTCGATCTTTGAAGATGTCATACTATGACGTTGACTCTATCCTCACTGACGCTGAGGTAAGACCCCCAAGCCGAAGCCCTGTCTCCGGAGCAAACAGGCAACTGACAGTGATACCCTTAATCCCAACGCGGCAGAAAATTCCCTGTACCTTTCAAATCGAGGTTCCCGACTTAGGCTACCTGGACAACACGCCGAACCAGGCACTCAAGGCCGGCACCAGAGTCAACCTCCCTCTCTGGCTAGCTGAGATGCTCGCCATCGCCAACACCGGAGACCTTGAAGGCAAATCGTTTGTAACTTTCGACCTCCCCCCGGCTTTGGGAAACGATGTCTTGCAAGCTCTCAAGGCGGATCCGCGTGCAGTACCGCTCCGCGACCAGAGCGCTCACTTTTACGGGCTTGCTACGCACATGATGGAATTATCCGAAGAGCAGGAATTGGGCGCTGTCCTCCGCAAAACATTTGTCACCCGGGCCACAGAGATCGCGTTACATGCTCGCAAAGTCGGCGGAATCGGACACAAGGCTAGCGGCAAAGGAACCGCTGACGAAAGCAGCAACCTGGGTATAGGCGGTGCGGGCGAAGAATTCCTCAGGGGACTCGACGAATGGGAAAGGAAGCTTTTCCGCAAGGCCCATGACGGGGCAAAGGCCGGGAAGGAGTGGATGGAAGGCATCAAGAAGAATTGAGTTGCTGGCATCGCACTCAACAACTCGTCGTCAGAACCTTCCAAGGTGGGGAGAACTGGCGGGTCCCTCGTCTTCGGCAATAACCGTGGGCGGTAACAGCTCGATCCCGCCGACACCTTCCGCTTGAAAGGCATCGATATACAAACGCGACATTGACTCGATTGGACATCGACCATGGAAGGTTCCACGTCTAACGGGAAGAAAATTGAGCTTCGTTGGTGTGGTTAAGGGAACTGCGGCGGCGCTGGCGGTCACGAACGCCAATTTCCCTGGATTAAGTCCCTTTCGAAGCATGAGGCGCATTGCCCTTTCCATGGCCAATTTCGAGGTATTCGTGAGTCATCGCGTCTGTTGATCGAGCTTTTGACAGATTGTTCAACAAATGCCGGGGTTGGGTCGCAACGTCCGGCGGGGGGTGGGGTAGAACTGCACTACAGCTCTACGCGAGACACTTTCTCAACAGCCGAGCTGCATCGTCCTCCCCAACAGATCCCCTCCTGGAAACTGAGCTGTTCTGAGCATTCTTCGCTGATAGACGCTTTCGTTCAGCAAACGGGATCAACTGTGGACAAAGTGATCTGTTTGCCAGTCGGGGACATGAAGGCTTCGCTCCTATCAGGGCTTCTTCGGCCCGGCACTGTGCAGCAGCAGAGCCGCGGGGCATGGCGAAGCATCTCAGTCTATCAGCAGTCACTCCGTGTTCGCATGTCGACAGTTGCTGCCGCACAAAGTTTTCCAGCACCACCTATCCCCCAACAAGCAGCCGAGCAGACCACATCGCCCCTGGCAGATGCCGAGAGTCGTAGCAGAGCGAGGGCGATTCTACTGGAATCGGCCGCTGCCCTGGCCCCAAGGCACGACTGGACTAGGCAGGAGATTTCAGCCATCTATTATCAACCGCTGATGGAGTTGGCCTACCAAGCTGTAAGTCCTGCTACGAAAATTCATGACCATGTCCTCACATGCACACACCGAAGCAGCTGACCATGTCGCCAACAGGCCAATGTCCATCGTCGCTTCCATAATCCCTCAGAAGTCCAGCTGTGCACGCTCATGAACATCAAGACCGGAGGCTGCACCGAGGATTGCTCATACTGCGCGCAATCCACGCGATACCAGAAAGGCACTGGCCTCGAGGCCAAGCGGGTTGAGAGCGTTGAATCAGTTTTGGAAGCCGCGCGAATCGCAAAGGCAAATGGCAGCACCCGTTTTTGCATGGGCGCCGCGTGGCGCGACATGCGGGGTCGCAAGAACAGCCTTCGCAATATCAAGGAGATGGTCTCGGGCGTGCGGGACATGGGCATGGAAGTTTGTGTGACACTGGGCATGATCGACGAGGCCCAGGCGAAGGAGCTCAAGGAGGCAGGTCTGACGGCGTACAACCACAACCTCGACACCAGCCGCGAGTTCTATCCCAGCATCATCACGACCCGCACGTACGACGAGCGATTGAAGACGCTAAGTCATGTACGCGACGCCGGCATAAATGTATGCTCAGGTGGGATCTTAGGGCTTGGTGAGACGGCCGAGGACCGGATTGGGCTCTTACACACCGTCTCGACATTGCCGAGCCACCCTGAAAGCTTCCCCGTCAACGCGCTGGTGCCTATCAAAGGCACGCCATTGGGCGATCAGAAACCGATCGCATTTACCAGCATGCTACGCACCATTGCCGCTGCGCGCATCATTATGCCCGCCACCATCATCCGTATCGCCGCAGGGAGGAAGACAATGACTGAGGAGCAGCAGGCGCTTTGCTTCATGGCTGGGGCGAACGCTATCTTCACAGGCGAGAAAATGTTGACGACAGAGTGCAACGGGTGGGATGAAGACGCTGCCATGTTTGGCCGATGGGGCTTGGAGCCCATGAAAAGCTTTCAGAAGTCGTCACAGCCGATGGGCACAGTTGCTGACCAAGCATGATATCACAGAAGGTTTCTTCGAGACTTCCATTGCAGTGTAGGTTTAATGGAGTGGTTGTCTATTTAGAGTTTACTCGCCCGCCCCCCTGTCGATGTTATTGGTACTGGGATGTCAGTGTTTTGCCCCACTGTTCCGGACATACACATCACCACCCATGCCTCGACCGCTCTGGCCAGGCCCTCGACCTCGTCAAGTGTGTTGCCAGCATGCAGGCATACCCTTATCCTCTCCTTGCCCTTCGGCACCGTGGGCGCGACAATTGGACGCACTATGAATCCCTTCTTCTGGCAAAACTCTGCCAAGCTCCGCGGCAGGGATGTAAACACGGGGATGATGGGAGATGGTGGCTCGGTAGCGTTAACTCTTAGCAGGGCTATGGGAGGGCGGCGGCGACGACAAATATCCAAGAGAAGGCAATGGGACTCCCGTGCCAACATCTTCAAGCAGGCGAGAAGTGGCTCTGCTTGGCCGCTCATCAGAAAGCCATACGTGACTTCTATGCTGGCCAGTGAAGGGAAGCCCATCGCTGTTGTGTAGATCAGCGTGCGAGCATAGTTGATCAGGTAGAGGCGGGTGGTTTCGGAGCAGAGCACAATTCCTGGCAGCATCAGCTTCCGTCCGGTCTGTTATACTGAATCAGAGGGGAACCGATCAGCAACCTACCTCCCGCGCAACCCATCGCCTTGCCGAACCCAAGCACCCGCGCCCAAACCCTCGCCTCCAACCCTAGTTCACATACCAGGCCCCGCCCCTTTTCCCCGAAGATGCCCGTCGAATGCGCCTCGTCAACAATCACATAACCATTGCCCCGCGGCAAACACTTCTCCACACACTCCACCACCTTCCGCAGCGGTGCCACGTCCCCGTCCATGCTGTACACGCCTTCGACAAGGACAAACGCGTTCCGCTCCCCATTCACGTACCCAGCGTCGTGCGCAACTAACTCCTCCAAAACCGCCCTCAGCGAGGCAACATTGTTGTGGGCAAACGCCCGCCGCCGCTCGGGCACGACCCGGCTCAGCCGCATGCCGTCGTGCGCGCTGGCGTGCACCAGCTCGTCGTACACGACGGCGTCACCCGGCTGCGGTACGCAGCCCAGCAGTCCAACGTTGGCGTCAAACGCCGAGTTGAACAGCAAGCCCGCCGCGGCGCCGTGGAAGGCGGCAATGCGCGCCTCGAGGGTCGTGGCCAGGGCCGAGTTACCGTCAAGGAGCCGTGAGCCGCGAGCCCCGAGCGCGAAGCCGCGACCATCCCTTTCAGAGGCCTCCTGCTGCAGCCGGGCCAGGAAGGAGGTTTGGATGGTGCGGTTGTGCGATAGGGAGAGGTAGTCGTTTGAGGAGAAATCTGCTGGGGGAGGCAGTGGTGGTGGTACTCGTCGTGACGAAGAGGGGTTTGGCGATGGAGGGAGGGTTAGCTGTCGGAGCAGGTTCCGAGCCTGGCGGCGGGAGAGGATGGCGGCCAGGGCCGCGTCAAGGCCGGATGTGCATGTGGTAGTGCTGGTGGTGGTGGGTTTGGAAGCCATATTTGGGACCTACGGCTTGTGGATGGTGATTGTGGGTGGTGCTTCGGATGGGATCGGCGTAACGAGAATCGTCTGCCCCTAGATTCTGACCAGGGCCCGCCTCATACAGAGGCAACTTTCCATTAGCTACGTATCGAAGGTAAACTTGACCCTGTAACGGAAGCAGGCCGGAAAGGATATGGTATCCGGGTAATGTATTTGCACCCTTTATGACGGTGTTGTCCCTGTAATTACGAACGAATCCCTTGTCTTCCCTACAGGTGTTGAGAAATGGTAAAGACACTGTGAAGTCTCTGCATGCTCCCAGTTCATATCCCGGCCTGTGTTTTGCGGGAATTGTTGGGCTCAACCGTTGAGAGGGGCGTAGGTCGGCTACAGGTTGAGTCACTTGAGTGAGTGGAGAGCTGCCAGGGCGCTGCAGCCTCTCGGTTCCTGCCGCTCCTTGAGTTTAGCCCTTAAGCGTACAATACAGAAACTCGGTGCTACAGGACACCACTCAGCGAGCACTTCGAATAGCCAGAAACGCAGAAAGAGAGGGCGCAAGACGCGATGCCTCCTCCCGCGCCAGCAGGGTCCTTGCTGAGGCCCGACCTCCGCATCTTCCAGGTCTTCGGGGCCAACACTGACGTTGGCAAGACGATATGGACCACGATCCTCTGTAGAGCGTCCAATTGCGATACCGAGACCACAACGTGGTATCTCAAACCTGTCTCGACAGGTCCAGCCAATGCGGCAGATGCTAAGTGTAAGCAACGCCACGTCTGGCCCTCGAGATTCAATGCTGGTGCAGTGCTGACCATGTCTAGACGAAAGGAGCTTCCAGACCACTCGGAAAATGTATCACTGAGCAAGTTTCCGTCCTAGACATCTGAGAACATACGCTCCAGGGGTTGTCAGTGAGACTCTATTTCAATATGATCTTGCAGTCAGCCCGCATCTTGCTGCGAGAGTGTCGAACAGAGTAAGTCTCCTCCCTACTGCTTCGCGTCACGAACAATGCATGCTCACATTGCCTCATCTGCTCGCCAGCCCACCCCTTCGGACCAGGCTCTCATAAGGTCGGTTCGGGATTTTGCCATGGGTTGCATCCCCTCAGGCTCTGGCTGGCTTTTCATCGAGACGGCTGGTGGCGTGCATTCTCCGGGCCCGGCTGGCTCGACCCAGGCCGATCTGTACATGCCCCTTCGGCTCCCAGTTATCCTCATTGGAGACCACAAACTCGGCGGTATATCGCTTTCCATTTCCGCGTTTGAGTCCCTCCGGATGCGTGGGTACGACATCGTGGCGGTGCTGCTGTTTGAGGGCGAAGAATATAAGAACCACGAGTACCTCACCGACTACTTCAGGCGCCATCATGCAGTGCACCTGGGAGTAATCCCGTCCCCGCCACTCATGGACTCGGGTCCGCAAGCCATGGAGCATTACTACCAGGAGGTTAGCAGCCAGAAGCAGGTTGCCGCCGTCGTGACCCTTCTCAGGGAGTACCACGATAACCGTATTCGCCGTCTGCGGGAGATGGCGGTCATTTCATGCGAAAAGATATGGTTTCCATTTACTCAACATGGCACATTACTCTCCGAGGACGTCACAGTTATCGATTCGGCTTATGAGGACCATTTCCAAACCCTGGCAACTCAGTCCAATCCGGCCCTGCAGGCCCAAGGGGTCCTGCGGCCGACATTTGATGGATCAGCCTCCTGGTGGACGCAGGGTCTCGGCCATGGTAACCCGAAGCTTGCGCTTGCCGCAGCATACGCAGCGAGCCGATATGGGCACGTCACATTCGCCCAAGCCGTACACGAGCCGGCGCTGACCCTGGCTGAGATGCTGCTTGACGGGCTCCAAAACCCCCGTCTGACTCGTGTATTCTTCTCGGACAATGGCAGCACCGGGGTGGAAGTCGCCGTCAAGATGGCGTTGCGAGCCACCTGCAACAGGTATGGCTGGGGAACATCGAAAGATGTCGAAGTCCTTGGCCTCCGGGGGAGCTACCACGGGGACACGATCGGCGCGATGGACTGCTCAGAACCGAACACGTTCAACGAGAAGGTTGAATGGTACAGCGGCAGGGGGCTTTGGCTGGAGTACCCGACCGTACAGTGCGCCAATGGCCAATGGGTGGTTGAGCTCCCTCCCATCATGGCGCCTGGGGGAACCAAGAGCATCGAGTTCCGCTCGCTCAGCGAGATCTTTAACGTCAAACGCCGGAAAGGGCAACTCCAAGAGCTGTACGTACGGTATATACTGGACACACTTGGGCATTCCAATAATTTGACGCGCAAGTTCGGGGCCCTCCTTCTCGAGCCGATTGTCCTCGGAGCAGGTGGCATGGCCCTGGTGTGAGTTTCTGCTTACCCATCTCATACCTTTCCCATAAGCAGGATCTGACACCTATCGCATGTAGGGACCCCCTTTTCCAGAGAACCCTGGTAGAAGTAGTGAGACAGAGGGGAGTTTTGTTTTCCAACTCGGAGCCCACCGGGTACCCTCCTAACGAGCCGAGAGACAAAAACGACTGGTGCGGTCTACCTGTTATTTTCGACGAGGTATTCACTGGGCTCTACCGCTTGGGACACTTCAGTGCGGCTTCATTCCTCGGCGTCCATCCAGACATATCTGTCCATGCCAAGCTGTTGACCGGAGGTCTTCTCCCACTTGCTGTCACGGTCGCATCGGAGGGTATCTTCAAAGAGTTCGACGGCGTAGATAAGAGTGATGCGCTGCTGCACGGGCATAGCTATACTGCCCATCCCGTTGGCTGTCAAGTGGCGCTCGAGAGTGTTCGCACGATGCGCAAGATGGAGTCGGAAAGAAAATGGGACTGGGCAAGCGGGCAAGACAACGGCTGGGCCGAGGATCTCGACGGTCAAGCTGACTTCAAGGACCACAACGGCAGTGCCAAGTGCCCACATGTCTGGTCAGTCTGGAGTGCCGAGTTCGTCAAGTGGCTGTCTAAACAAAAGAGCACTCCATCCAAGCGGGTTAAAGGTGCATGGGCGCTGGGATCGATCCTGGCGATTCACCTTGATCCTGATCAAGGCACGGTTGGCTATGAGAGCAATGCTGCGGCGGGAATCAAGAATGCTCTTTTGCAGGCAAACGGTCTTGAGGACGGTATCGCCTGGAACGTCCACAGCAGGGCTCTGGGAAACGTTTTCTATGTCATGGCGAGCCAGGTGACCTCAAAGGAGAGCATTGACCGTCTAGAGTTCCTCATGCGCTCGTTTTTCAGCGGAAACTGACAGAACTGCCCGTAGGTGCATCGCTGAAAAGGGCTCCTGACATGGGAAAATGTTCGACGAGGATGAAGATATAAAAAGATCATATGTCTAGACTATAAGAGTGTAGAGGCCGGATGCCAATCGAAATGCAGTGGCGCTCACTAGGGCTACCGTGTTGATCTGCCTGTATTATCTGCCGAGTCCCTGTAAGGATCTCATCTCAATTCTGGTTTTGTCGGCGTTTTATTTTGTATGTGGTCTGTTCGGTGCGGTCATCAAGGTGCAACACGTCAATTGACGTTCGTCGTGAGGTTGAGGCGGGGAATTTGCACTTATTGGTACTGTGTGAATAGTCACTTTCGGGTCACTCTGCAATGAAACTCCGAGTCAACGAATATCTGTACAGTATATTAGTACTGTATGAAGGTCTCAGGCTGGAATCCCGCCTGTGCCTTGCACTGTGGCAGTCAAGCACTGCAGTGATGCAACCGCAATTATGTCAGCAGGTGACCGACCCTCGTGCCTTTCGACCAGCTTCCAGAAGGCAGCACTTGTTCATTTCAAAGGCAACGGCAAACAACAACATCATCGCACCTTTGCAACCCAAGCCTTCTTCAACACCGAATCGTCGTCTTCCTATACCGCTGTTCTCTGCTCGATTCCACAACTATTATCGCCGCCAACATGGGTTCTATCGTGTTACCCCACCTCGAGACGGGCTGGCATGTCGACCAAGCTATTCTGAGCGAGGACGAGCGCCTGGTTGTCATTCGGTTCGGCAGAGATTACAGCCCGGAGTGCATGCGACAAGATGAAGTCCTGTATCGCATCGCCGACAGGGTAAAGAACTTTGCTGTCATCTGTACGTACCTTCCTCTCGCCTCCCCCCTTCCCCTCGCGTGCGCAGGCAGAGCCCGGCCGATTACTAACTTGGCTTGTTCCCTTTTACCGATAGATCTCTGCGACATTGACAAGGTTCCCGACTTCAACACCATGTACGAGCTCTACGACGAGTGCACGCTCATGTTCTTCTTCCGCAACAAGCACATGATGATCGACCTGGGAACGGGCGACAACAACAAGATCAAGTGGGTGATGGAGGACAAGCAGGAGCTGATCGATATCATTGAGACGGTGTACCGCGGAGCGAAGAAGGGCCGGGGTCTGGTGGTTAGCCCCAAGGACTATTCGACGAGGCATCGATATTAAGGGGCTCGTGCGACTACTTGCATTTCCACGTCGTCTAGGGGATGCCTTGTTCTATTATTCCGTGCGGGCGGCTGTCCGAAAGCGAAAGCGCCTCGAGAAGGAAACTGGCTACCAGGCACATATTGAGGCTCGACAAGCACCGCGACGACATCACGGTTCCCCACGGTTCCCCTGCCTTGGGCGTCTCGTGGGCCCAGCAAAACGCAAATATGGCGCCGCGCCGAATAGGTCGGTGGACGAGGGAAAAGGTGGCTGCAGTTGGGATCATTTTCTGGGCTGGCAGCTTCGCATCACGACAGCGATGTTAGGATTCAGAGTTGAGTTATCTGCAACCAAGGCAAGCGAAACTGAATCGAGTAAGATAGCAGAATTCACCAGCTAATGTCATTTAGATCCGTGGCAGACCTCGCGTTACAGTACGTGACAGTGGATGAAAGCCTAGGAAAGGTCTTGCTGAGAGGCAATCTTCCTGAGCTCGAAGGCGGCGGGATGGTCGACAGTGTCTCCTCGATGTCGCTCCATCTCTTTCCTGAAATGAATTCGCCGACTTAACTGTGTATAGTACGGCACGGAGTACAGTTAACTGCCCCCTATCAATCAGACTGACCATGCTGGTGGTTTGACGCCGTACAGCAAACGTTACACCTGTCTCGTCCGTTCGTCTGTGACTCTTGAAACCGTTGTTCTAGGTCACACACCGCATGGTTTGTGTTCATTGCGCCCAAAGCAATGAACCTTGCCAGGGCCGGGTCTAGGCGCGGGTACTAACAATTCTAGCGCTACCTTAGTCATTTAGCCACTTAAGTGGGTCACGATGCCCCTCATCTGAACTCCCTTCTGTATCCGTACTTTACCCCTTTACATTTACGACTGCTTGCCTGCGTGAGAAAACGCAGGGCCTCAATACCCGGTAAGCAGCGACTACCTTGGGAAGTTCAACACAAGAGGTGACACCTTGGTGCCCGGTGCTTGTGCTGAGATCATCGAGACCCCTCGTTGAAAATGCCATTCGTCGCATGGTTAGATGCGAAATTGCGACTTCGCGACCCCTTTTTGGATGGATGGAGCCTGTGGGCCGCTTTGCAACAAACCAATGTTTTAATGTTACTCGGTTCGGGGTCGAAGATTACTGTTAAACAGGGGTAGTTGAGCTCACCAGGAGAAAGAGTCGCCCCCAATCACAAGGAGGGCAACCGCATTTTTTGATCCTGCCAACCGTACAGTTGCAGTTGACTTGCGCATCTCCCTCCTCGTCTCCTTGCTGGGCCGAGCTTTCCCGCTTCATTTCTTCCGCTCGTTTCCTTGAAGAGTTGTTGTCCATCATCTCGTTTCGAATGTCGCGCTACGAAGAAGACCAGTAGACGATCCTTCGCGCTGCGCCCATCCCAACCCGTCGCCAACGTGGAGCCCATCACGAAGCACAAACCGGGCGACGCCAAGTCGTCGTCGGCTGGAAGGATGAATCGCCTCAAGCTTGCCAGCCCCAAGCTTCGACGCTTTCTCAACCGCCAGTCGCTCATTGTTGCCGTCGCGATATTTACCCTGTGGTTCCTGATTGTGCAGTTTCGCGGCGATATTTCCCAACAGTGGTCGCAGCTGGGCGTCCAATACCCCGACGCGCGCGATCCACCCCGGCGCATGCCTACTCAAAACATCCTACCGAAGCTCCCTGAGCGTATTATGTGCTACGGGCCCCGCGGTTATCTCCTGGGGAAGAGCCCCGACGACGATCTGATGGAAAGGGAGATGGATGGGCGTATGTGCTTTTGACCCTTTCTACCTTCCTTTGCTCAAGATGCGCCTGCTGACTCTTGGAATCATGCAGCCTATCCAAGACCGTGGGCGGGGTCGTACGAGGAACTCGGCCTTGACCTGACCATGATGACGGCCGAGAATCGGTATGGGCCCTACGGATTCGGCGAGGAGAGGGAGGACTACGCTAGGGAAAGGGTCGACTGGGACAGGGTCGACTGGGGGAAGCTGCAGAACGAGTGCTTTGAGAGGAACAAGGAGCGCTTTCCAGAGGCTGCAAAGCCGTTTGACAACGGGGTCCGGTTCGGTTACCGACATGTCGCAAACATCCCCAAGATCCGGCACTGGCACGAGTTTGAACACTCGAGGCGAACTGCCATTGTGGTGAGAACGTGGAGAGGATACCGGTATATGCCCGAAGACTTGCACTATCTGCGGTCGCTCATCGCCGAGGCGACACTCAAGACGGGCGCCGAGTATCAGGTTATCCTGTTTGTGGACATGAAGGATCATGATGGATACGACAACGATATCTGGAGTTCCAAAGAGGCTTATGAGCAAGGGCTGAGGGACGCTGGGGTGCCCCCAGAGTTTCGGTCCATTACGCTCTTGTGGGACAGCCGTTTGTTGGAGAGTTGGTACCCGGACATCGAGGAGCACAGGTATGGCAGTTGTGTGGTTTTTCGAGACATTCTTGGGTTATTTTGATCGTGCTGACTCTCCGCGGTAGGACCATGTGGCAGGTGTTCCAGCCGATGCAGCTCCTCGCTCTGCACTACCCCGAATTCGACCATTTCTGGCAAGTGGAAATGGACATGCGCTTCCTGGGCGACGCCGGCAAGTTCCTTGATAGCATGACCATGGTGGCGCGCAACGAACCCCGCAAGCAGGCGCTGGAGCGCGCCAGCTTCTGGCACATGATCGGCGAGACGGGCGACTACGGCGAGTTCTCCATCGCCGTGGACAAGGCGAACAAGGGCGGATCACATGCATGGGGCCCGATGCGAGTGAGCGAGATCCTGCCCATCGGGCCGGAACCGCCGGTTGCGGATCCGCACAACGACTCGTTCCAGTGGGGTGTTGGTGAGGAGGCGGACGTGATTGTGTCTGGTTTCTGCAACGACGCGAATAAAGCCCACAAGTGGGTGTTCAAGGATTGGATTTACGGCTTGCGGACGGGCGCGCGGACACCTCGTTTCTTCTGCCCGCCCGCCATTCAGCGCGCCAGTCGGGCGCTACTGCTTGTGATCCATCAGGCTCAGATCGAGTCAGCCATCCAAGTTCCCAGCGAGGCAACGCTGCCCAGCTTTGCCCTGTGGCACGGGCTGAAGCTCAGTTTCCCCCAGCACCCCGTATTCCACCGCGAAAACGACGAAGAAAAGATCCGCATGAAGTGGTGGAAGGGCGGGCCGCGCGCCAGCTCGACGGGCATGGGGCCCGACAGCCTGGACCACCCCAAGGGGAATGGCCTGACGTTTTGGTGGGAGTCAGAGTGGCCGCGAGAAATCTTCAGCTATTGGACGGGCCGCGAGACGGAGAAGGACAGGCCGTGGATCGTGCACGAGCAAGATGGGAAACTATACATGCCTAATATTGTACTGCACCCGATGAAGCACATCACGGACTGATGAACGAGCATGAGCATGGTCGAATGGTCGAATGGTTGGCTGCGGTATATAAAGCCGGGACGAGCGGGATCCTCTCAGCACCATTGTACGGCGTATGATCACGGGGTTGGTCTTCTGGGAGAGGGAGTTTCGGAGCTTTCCGTTTCTGTTTTTGGGGTTTGGCGATTGACTATCTTACACTAATGAACTATTTACGCAAGTCTGATGGCATTCCCTTGCTGTGGAGCGGAGATGCCGTGCATGAGTCCCAATTCAGGTGTCAGTCTCGGCCGAACTCACGAACAGATGGCAGGTCCCTGTGTTCACCCCCTTACGTCACCTTGTCTCCATGATGTCTGCAGCCAAAACTTGACCGTCTCGGGGCGATTACGGAGCACAATCTGCAAGGGCAGGGCGGGATGCATGGGATGATTGGCAAACATGGGGCATCCGAACACAGACGAGGGCTACTGACTCAGGGGTGGCCACGTGCTCGTTTCAGAGCCGGAGAAAACTCTATTTTGACTGCCGGCACATTCATCCAGCGGAACCAAGTGACCTGAAGTGCGCTCTTCATATTGGCAGAGGCATATTCGGCTTTATAAGGTAGGTACCAAGTAGGTAGCAAGGTATTGTACACTTGTACCTACCACATCAGGCTTGCCACTTTTCCTCACTAACGCGACGAGACAGTCCGCGAACAAGACCCTAACCCTCAAAGCAGACCAAACGTCCATGAGCTCTCCCAGTTGTACGTCTGGCCAGGTCCAAAGATCTGGTAGCTAGTCCGGTTCCACTCGGGACTGGTCATGTTTTCGGATCAGCTCTGCGTTCAGGGGCGCGCTTCCAAGGGGAGAGAGGCGAGATGTGACTATTCTTTGAACCAAGGCAAAACAGGGATACCGAAACTCACCGGTTAATCCCATCGGGATAATCCTGCGCCTCAATGGCAACACACGAGCTCTTGACAACCTTTTGGTCGCTCTTCAAGCCCTGCGTCGACTTGAGCCCCGCACTACCGTCCATCCACGAGCACGAGTAGAGCACCACTCCGGGCTGGTCGGTCCTGAGCTCGGCCTTGACGCCCGAGAACTCACTCGCGAGCGTCACCACGACGGCGTCGTTGCTGGGCTTGTCCTCGATCAGCCAGTAGCCGTTGTACCCTTCACAGGCGCCGTTGGCGCCGCAGTTGCCCTGGAACCCGGTGGCGTTGCGTGAGTGGCCGAACAGCAACCCGGGCTTGGAGGCGAAGTCGTTGATGGACCCTGGTGCCGCCGTCAGGATCTTGCCCGTCGGCAGCGCGTTCTGGTCCGCCTCGAGGTACCGCGCCGAGTAGGGCAGGTGCAAGGTGTGGTCCCAGATGAGCGAGGTGGCCGGGTCCCGGTAGGCGTCGAGGTTGAAGTAGGTGTGCTGCGTCAGCATGAGGGGGGTCTTTTGCTGGGGCGAGGCCGCCGTCATGCTGATGTGCCAGGTGGCGTTGGCGCGCACGCTGTACGTTACGCTGGCTGATACGTCGCCCACCATCCCCTGCGACGAGTTGGATCTGTCGAGGAGGGAGAAGGTGATGGAGTCGGCCGTGACGGCCGTCACGTTCCAGAAACGGAACGACCAGTTGTTGGTGCCGCTGTGCAGCGTGTTTGGTCCGTCGTTCTTTTGCGTCTGGTACGTCACGCCGTCGATGGTATACTGCCCGTTGCCGATGCGGTTGGCGTACCGGCCCGGAATGGCGTTGTAAACCGGGTGGCCGGGGTCCTTGGCTGAGATGGTTTGTCAGGTTCTCAGTCTGAGTGAGCTTGGGGGAAGGGGGTGGTGGTTCAGATTGGGGGCTGGCACTGACGGTAGTAGTCGACATCGTCGTAGCCAAGCACAACGTCAATGTCCTTGCCATTTTTATCTTTGACGAAGAGGTTCGTCAGGGTTGCCCCGTAAGGGATGAACTTGTCGGTGTCAGCTCCCGCCAACATCCACCTGAGAGTTCTCCTGGCTGGGGATTGTACAATACCTACCTGTGCCTTGATGCCCTCGGCTGAAATCGTGTATCGTCCGTCGGCGCCGGGCTCAGGGACAGCAATGGCGGCCGCCTCCGCCACCGCGGCAAAGAATAACGCACTCAGCTTCATATTCTTCTATTCGGCGCTTGACTTGGTGGAATCCGTGTGGGCTACACCCGACATAAGTACAGACGCTCACAGCCGCAAGGTCAGAATCTCCCATGCTCACGGATACCCCGTCCCATGCTGCTAACCTTATAGTATAAGATCCTGTCTCTTACTAAGACTACCGTACCACTACGTCGTAGCTGATTTCTCCGCATTTCTTGTGCCGATACCCCAGCTGCTACCCCAGACTTCCGCATGACAGGGCGATCCGCCGACTTGGACTCTGGTTTATTAAAGCTAGATCAGGCTGAGTTGCGGAGGGACTGGCCAAGCTTATAGGCTACCAGAAGTGCCACCGTTCCATGCAGGAACCCCAACGAGGCCGAATGCAGTGAACCAATCACGACAATCACCAGCCGGAAGAATGTTGAAAGGGCTGTCAGCGTCATCCCCTTAATAGCCTTCCCCCCCTTAAGGGGCGTCTTACACCCGTATATAGTGGCAACATTCTGGCCAGTCCCTTCGCCTTGGTTTGCTATTCGGTCTCTCCGGAGTATCTGAATCTGACTCTGAATACAAGGGTGCTCCCCACCCGGGTATATTGTCGCCGTGGTGTTCGGCTTTGCCCGGTAAAGAGTCCTGCTGTTCATGTCAGCTCAAGCACCAATGCTAGGATGCGTGTACGAGCTCGTCGAATTCCCAGTGTGCTACACGCAGCTACTCATACTAACAGTCTATGTATATACGCTAGTAGGTTTAACTATCCAAACAATTCTTATATTCATAAGTTGCAGTCTTTCTCCCGCGCTGCAATATCGGAGTTATGCTTTATCTGCCACCCAAAGCGCCTCCACCAACATCTGCCGCCGTGATTAAGCTATGGTATTACATCGTTATACAATGGACGCCTCGGGCTCCGGCGCGCCGCGCTATCAGAGAGTATTCCCAAGAGCATTAGAGTCGTAGCTAGCCAGACGCCAACGCTCGCTCCAACATGTCGCACTTGCCATTAAGGTCGCATTACCACTTCCGCCTCCGTCATTTCTTTAAACATCACTTCTTCTCCCCCACCCCGTTCCCCTTCTCCATCCTCCTATTCCTCCTTCTTTCCCTTCGCCTTGCCCTTCTGCGGTATGGGGTTGCCCTGCTCGTCGACGAGGCCCTTCTCGCGCATGACGCGTAGGGCTTCGATCAGGGGGTCCAACTCGGGCTTGGGCGCGCGGTGAGAGCCGAAGTAGCTGTCGGCCCAGGTGAAGTACTGGCCGTAGTTGACGGTGAAGTACATGTGGTGCAGCGTGTGGTGGGCGGGGCTGTTGATGTACTTCTCGAGCCAGTGGCCCGAGATCATGTCGCCGTCGTGGATGAAGATGGTCCAGATCTGCACCAGGCCGAAGAGCACAAAGTACAGGTACTTTTGTACAGGGCAGATGAAGACGAAGACGCTGCATTGGTTTGAAAGTTAGATGGTTGCAAGAATGGGGTTACCTCCGGGAGAGGAAATCGGGAGCGGGAAGGGCCGACACATACTGGTATGGGAGGGATTGCACGTAGCCGTCAAGAGGGTGGAAGGCGAGGGCTGCCCACGGCGTTGGGACGATCCATTTGTGGTGCGGCTTGTGGATGTACTTGTAGACGCTCGGGTGGTGCTCGAGGCGGTGGATCCAGTAGATCATGAAGTCGTTCCATATCATGAAGAGCACCGTCGATATGCCCAGCCAGGCCCAGCCGTACTCGTCTATCCTCGTATACAGCAGGCTCTTGCCGCGCACCTCGGCCAGGAAGAAGGGCAGCGTCAGAATGTTGATGAATGGCACGGCGTTCATGGACGACACAATCTCCTGACGAATCTGGTTCTTGAGAAAGCGCGGATGGTACTCGAGGCGGCGGTCAAAGATGAAATAGTACGACAGGGCGCTGAAGATCCAGTACAGCGACGTGGCGCCAATCTGCGTGATGATCAGGATCGAGATGCATTGGCGCAGGATGTTGTCGCGGGGCCATGCCGAAACCGAATAATCGTAATCGGCGTGTGATGCTGCTGCTAGTGACTGACCCAGGCCCGCGTGCGCCGTGGCATTGAGCGACGTCCTTGCTGGAACAAGGTGGGCGTAGACCTTGTCAAACACGAGCGGGTCGAGGATCTCGAGGGCGACATCCATGGTGTTTGCGATTCAAGGGCCTCAATGCGCGGCGCCGCGTCCGTTGCAAGTGCGTCGACGAGTTGCGAAGGAAAGAGTTTCTGATCGCGATTTTTATGATTTTGACCCTGAAAGCGGCGTCCAATTCCATGATTTCTGCCCCACCTACGACTCCACTCGGTTAAATTGCCGTGGACTGACAAAGGCGTTTGTGGCCTTCTTCTGGTGCGTTGCGTTTCGGATCCGAATACGGGGTCTTTTTGCGCCTCGGAGTTATCAACGAACGGTCTTCAAGTTTCGTTGGGGCGTGGTTGCCTTTCGGCGCTCTGCATTGGCTGAGTCATCGAATGGGAAACAGCGCAAAAAGGGTTTGTGAAACCCATTAAAATTTATAAATCTACCTTTGCAGTGGTCAGTGATGTTGTCTACACTAAGTGTACAAACCGCTCTATGTCGATAAACTCAATCATGGTATCATCTCTCGAAGGAATCTCTCCGCCCGGCACCAGCGCTATCCGAATGCATGGGCCCACTATGCCGCCATTTCATGGTGCGTGCGCGGTCCCTGCGCACCCGATGTAGCGATCTCGGCGACGGGGCCGTAGGGGCCAAATCCCCCGCCACCATGAGTCCACTTCGTCGCACCAGGAACGGGCATCTCGGCTACGTACGGCGGTGCGTATTGCGGATATCCGCCTCCCATCATCGCCGCCGCCGCCGCTGCCGCCCTCCTCCGCCGCCAATACCAGAACGCAAGCCCCGCAAGTACAAGCACACCAATCGCCGCGCCGATCCCAATCCCCGCTGAGGCGCCCGCGCTTAGACCGTTACTTTCGGATGATGTGTTTACGGCCGCGTTCAACCCGCCCGAGGTGGTGCCGCCAGTATTGCCACCGGTATTGCTATCCGCAGGCGTAGATGTTGGCGGCAGGGTTCTGCTCTCTGTGCTTGAGATCGAGGTCGATGTCGAAGTTGATGTCGAAGCCGATGTCGAAGTCAATATCGATGTTGATGACGATGACGATGTCGACGTCGTCGCGTCCGACGACAGCGACCAGGTCGTCCTCCCCTCTGCGCGTTCCACGCCGAGGAGATTAAACCATTCGCTGTTATCCTGACGGACGCTGTCTTCTGGGCCCGTCCGAATGTTGAACCAACAGGGCGTGTCCGACGTGAAATTGAGCAGTATGGGCACGGTGGAGTCGAATCCCGGCGCGTCTTGTCTGTAAACTGCCATGGCGTCAGCATTTTATGCCCGCGCTGACATTGCAGATGGCGCGCGCGGTCGGCTGAACTCACTAACTCTGGCGACGCCGGGCTCGCAAAAAGTCCAGAGGTCGACCGTGTCGGTGTAGCTGATGTAGCTGACCATGACCGTGTCCAACTTGTTGTAGATGGGCTTCGAGTTGTCGATGGGATACACAAAGTCCGGCTTTTTGTTGCTGTCTTGACTTTGGCCAGCAGCGCACACGACCAACAGAGCAGCCGCCAACAGGACTGCCTGCATCTTGGTCAGCATGTCCCGGTGCCTTGGTCGCCGGCTTGGCAAGCAGCTTGCTGGTGGTGCTGCCCTTGAAGAGAAACCCATATTGGGTCTGAATGCCGATCCACCGCCGGCGTCGTCGTGCACAGTAGCGACCAGCGAGGCGGTCTCGTGCGAGGGAACTCCCTCAGACGACAACAGAATTTCGGTGTAGATAGACACGGTGATTTGAATGAATCCTGCGAGGATGGAGAGATGAACGCTCGGAAATCAGGCGGGAGCCAAGGACAACAGCCATCCATTGCGCCGCACGGTTTCTAGACCCCGGCTCCTCGCACTTCCGTCACCTTGACCATGGGCATGGGTGCGAAGAAGGAATCCGTAGCCGACCAATCCTCTCAGCCAGGGGGCGGGGCAAATGCTGACTTCCATGGCAAAAGGATCATCTCTGCATCGATCCACCTCATCCGCCGCCCGGCGTTTCCTGGGTGAGTTCTTGTGTTTGATGCTGGGACTGATATGAATGTGCCAATCTTTGCAGATCAAGGCGTCTCAAGTGAAAAGAGCGCGAGCTGTAATCTGTATCCTACATGTATTTTGATCGCGCTGTATTGGGCTTGGAACAAGCTAGGTCGGATATGGGGCTATGGGCGGCTAAAAGGATCGAGGGGCATGGCCGGAGTTAACTTGCCGACCCCTGGACAAAAACGTTGCGCTACGCCGCTTTGGTGGCTCCGCGTCTCCTCCGAACAATGGTGTACGGAGTGCAATGCCTACCTATAAGTAGCTTCAACCTTGCCCTATGTCAACCGAGCGCTTATTAGCACAGGCAGTGTATGGGCAGTGTAGATGCCGCATCTTCTTCGGTGCAGTACTCTCTTAGGTGCAGATGGCTTTTCATGTTCTCTCTGTATCCAGTCCCTGGAGGGGCGACCATCGGGAGAAGTGACCAGGTACACTTCAAAGGCCGATTCCCAGCTAATGCCAATGCGTGTAGAAAAGGAGTCCATTTCTCCGACAAGAGTCCTCTGTTGCTGAGACGCCCTCCTTTTAGCGGCTGAACCAGACTTCCCCTGAGTATGTGTGCATCTCAGTGAGGATGAGGGACAGGCCAATAAGGTCTCACATCTGCTTATCAAAAACTATTACCTATGTATGTACATAATAACCCCGAGGTCAAGCGAAGAGGGCAACATCGACAGTCTGTAATTGAGTACATGTATCTGGCCGGGATACCAATGATTTGCCTTACCTACCTCACCCGCTCACCAAGTACCCGAGGTACCTTAATGTGAGCCATAAAACGACCCTCTCGCCTTCATTATTGATATAGAGCCTAGTAAGCCTACTACTAGTTGCCTTTCCATACTACAAATCAGTTTACAAATCTGGATATGCCTGTAGACTGCAACTACTACTAGTAGCCTCCCTTAGTAGTAGTACCCAAGTGAAGCTAAGTGCATAGGTGGGTAAGGTACCTTAGGTAAGGACTCTTATTGAGCGGAATCAGTAAGGTAACTACCAGGTACTGATTACACAGTGACACAACCAAGCTAGTTTAACGGTCAGCAAGTATGCCGTGAGACCGGGAGAGAGGCCAGTCTGACGAATCTGATCTTAGGATATATAAATCATTACGTAGCTCCCAAATCACACAGTGAGCCATGATCGTGGGTGCATACTAACAGGGGCCATGGGATATATGATACATGGGCTACTGTTGACATATGCCACTTCTATCTGAATGTACGAACTGTGTGTCTTGAGGCCGTGTGGTTGCTTGGAGCTACCTACTTAGGTACTAATAAGATAGGTACTTAGGTACGAAGTATTTAACAACTAATAATTTGAGGAACTTGAAACCAACAAAGCGGGCCATGAGGATTGCGAGTGTTGTTCAATGGCTTCAGTTATCCTGGGCTCGTCGAAAGAGATGCCCATAAACATAACAACATTGAACAGGTACCTACCCTTTCTGATCGAACATACTACTAAGAGTGGTTGAATCCATGCCCTTCCTTTACGTTTCTTGATAAACATAACCGTTGCCTTACTGTGTATGTAACATGCATCCATCAAGCCCATTTTCCAAGTACACTCATGCTGATCATCCCAGCAGCGAGCCCAGCCAAACTAAGGCACTTGCCCCTGAGATCCAAGTGCGCCACCTCACCGCCCAACATCCAGTCGTGTGCCCACATTTCCACAACACCCACCCAGACTAGAACGCCAGCAGAGAAGGCGTCAATCGTTCCGATTGCCATGATGGTGGTAGGATCATTCCCGTTGAAGACCCTGAGAACGCAGATGCCGAATGCCATTCCAATTGGTGTGACGAAAGCGAAGCCGCTTGCGAGCAGGAGTTTGCGAGCAGTCGAGACTTTGCGAGAAGCTATCGTTTCCCCAACAGCAGCTTTATGTACCGTGACGTTTGGTGCAAGCGAGGGATGGTGATGGCCGTGTCCAACAGGGGGAAGACTTCCGCCGGGACACCCGAGTGCTGCAATCCGAGTCCCCAACGCAACTCCTTCAAATGCTTGATGAAACATAATAACGACCGCCAAAGGGCCAAAGAACTTGTCGCTCGTAACCACCAAGGTAAGGCCAATAACTTGGTAGAACATGACCGTATGAGCACAGTGTCGCTTAGGATCAACAGGTCAAGGAGTAAGCATAGTAGGACTTACGCAAGGAATGGAAAATGATGCCAGCTTCTAGTATGGCCACGTTGACCAGTTCCGCTGAGATCATCGTGTCCTCCAGACTCTCTTCGACCGTTTCCGGCTTCTTTGTCGATCGCCAAAGCAGGACCTGCTGCACGGCATATTCTATCACAAAAGATACGAAGATCCCAATCATGAGAATAACTGCAGGTGTGGCCTCGTACGACAGCCCTCCTAGGCATTCGTTATCGAATGTTAAGATGGCGTGGGTAAACAGCTTCATAATGGGAAATTTAGCTTTGTAAATCAACTGGAAACATTCGAATAATCTAGGGTGAAACGGTGGCGATATTCGATCATAGGACTGATGGACTCACATGCACAAAAGCCGTAGAGATGATAACGCCCGTGCCGAACTGTTTCAGGACCACCAAAACAAGACTGGTATTGGGTGGCAGGAGGGACGCAACAAGGATTGGGCCGTATACGCCTGTGGGCTCGGGTCGTTAGACTTGGAAGCCTTGGGAAGAGAAGGCATTGGAACGCACCCAGGGAACTGGCAAGCAGGACCAGAAACAAAACTCCGATACGGAGCGGTATATTATAGTCGCGGTCCACACGTTCACACTTCAGGCTGAGGGTGGATGTCGCTGATGCTTCATCCACACCTCCAACACAGTGCCTGCAAATCTATAAGCGGATGTCTGCGCGTATGATGAAGAAGTGCAGCAAAAAACTGTAGGAAGAACAGAGCAAGCATCACATACTCTATCCCAGCATGGGAGTGGCAGTGACGCTCACTCGGCTTGAACTCGGACAGGGCCTCTTCCGAGTTCAGCAGCTCAATCTCGACGTCGTGTCCTTCTGGGCTAAGGCAGAAGCTGATGAATAAGACAATATCAGCCCATTGAAGCAGGTATCTCAAGGCTCAAAATCCCACACCCCTTACGTTTTTGTTGCATGGCTATGACAGCCAGCGAAGTGAGGTGGAAGCTCGCTCGCCGATGTGACAGCACCGTAATGAACAAGATACTCGGTCGACTCGGAGACACAGATTCTGTTGCATTCCTCTTGTCAGCGCGAGATTGTTTGCTGGCTTAGCTGAGAAGTTCCATTCCCATACACATTCGAGTCCTCCAAACGGCATTGAGACAGAGCTGTCAACTCGCCACGACTTCCAGAGCCCAGGGCATCGTCACCTTGGTTTGGATTTGGAGACCTCAAACGGAAAGCGGATGAATTCCAGACCAGTTTTACCATGAGAAATGTGAGAACAAGCAGCACAACAACGCCGTTGCAGATGCGTCGCTGGTGAGCTCTAGCTAGCATGGTTCTTCAGCTTTCCTTTCTGACTCGAGGGATGGCCCGTGCTGGATGATGGATGCGACTTGAACCAGACCATGGAACGGGCAGTAGGAAAAGGTAATGGCTTTGTTGACTACCAGTTACTGGCCCGCGAATTGGCTTTCCATTCTGGTTGACCCCTGCCTCAGAGGGTTCCTGTGACGAAGTTAGTAGCTAGTAAGGTCCATGGCAAAGAGAACTCCGCGCATGAAACTCGCAAGATATCATGTCATAGCATCCTAGGCACCATCATGCCGCCAAGAGCCAAGATCAAAGGCGACAGTGCTCCCGAGTGGAAAACAGTGCAATATACCGCGTGCGGAAATCGCTAGTTCTCCGCTCATCACGAAACCTCTCCCAACCACACGTTGTTGTCCATGATGTGAAAACAACTACCTACCTAGACAAGAAGGCCAGGACTCGGGAGTGCCCGAATACGAAGCTGAGGTTCATCAAGGTCCTTCTCAGTCTTCACCGAGCTTCTTTCCGCATCCAGCGTCTTACCCCTCGAGTTCCAACAGCAAAAGGAGAACCTTGACGGCCAAAGGGATGGATCCCCCCCCAATTCGATTCCATGTTTTTCTCCTGCAGGTGGCAATATTTGCGCCTTGGCTCTGGCTACCTAAATGGTTGCTCCGTGATATTGGCCACCTGCTGAGGTGATTGGGTGGGTTGGGTCATGCTAAGGGGGAAGGTAAGGCTTCCTCGGCCAGGCGCACCTTCCCATCGCTTAAATGAACCGACCCTCACCTTCTGGTGTACTTGCATCTCTAGTCTCACCTTTGTTGACCTGGGCCGCTCCTCATTCGTTTGAGCACGTCGAGACCATCCGCACAGCAGTAACCAATCGACAATCGTTGGAATTGACCTGTCCATTCGTTGTCAAGTCGAACCACACCAAGCTCACCCATCATGAAGACTTCCGCTGTGCTGTTCTTCCTCGGGCTTCACGCCTTGCCTGCGCTGGGTCAGACACTCGCTCCTTCGCCCACCGAGTCGTTCGGATGCGTCCCTCACGACGACCACTGGTAAAGCTCCCTTAGTGTGACAATGCCCGCCAACAAAGCCCTTCGGTCCCCCATCGTACACCGCCCATCAATCAACAACCAGTATTGACCCTTTCTCAACAGGCACTGCGAGGGCGCGCGTTCCACAACGGCCGGAGCCGTCGAGTCCTCGCCTCCGCCGGCCGTGACCTCGGCCACCAGCGAGCATCCTGACGAGCACACCACGACCGACAGCCCCGGCACTGGTTCCCTGGCTCCCAGCCCAACCGAGTCAATTGGCTGCGTGCCGCACGGCGACCACTGGCACTGCGAGGGTCCTGCCCCCGTCGAGACGGGATCGTCCGAGGCCGAGGCCGAGTCCAGCACTACCGTGGCGGTTACGACTACTACTACCTTGGCGACGAGCACCGTCACGAGCAGCGGGGCCGCCTCGGGCACCGGCGCCCTCCAATCTACTACGACGACAACTGGCGGATCCCCGGTCGTCACCGCTGGTGCTGCTGCTGGCCCCATGATTGGTGCCGTCCCTGTGTTTGGCCTGGTTGTTTATGCCGCTCTGGGCTTCTGAATTTGGAGGTTTTGAGCCAGCCGCCAGTACTATGAGCTGGAATGTCCGTAACTCCGGCGGAAACCCCAGAGACTGGCCTGTGGATAGCTCAGCCCTGGATTGACCTCATTGGTCTGGTTTTAGGGCTTGTTGTACATGCAAAGGAATAACTTTACCTTCAACTGGGGGGGAATAATACCTTGACCTTTGGGGTACTATGTTAATTAGATGTACCTTAACTCGCTTTTTGATCCATTATATTTAGATACTGTTCTGAAGTCGAGAGCTGACTCTTCAAGTACAATACATGATCATGGGCTCTGGCAGAAAAGAGACTTGAAAAGCTATGATTTATCCTGCAAATTTCAGCTGTTGAGACCGGTCTACGGCCGGATACGTGTAGTATCGTGCTGTAGGATAGCCTCCTGATATCACCAGCAAATGGAATCCATGATCAGTGCTGAGGTGGTTCAGTTGAAAGCAGCGGGTACGCTTTCGGAATGCTGAACAGAACAGGGAGAAAGCCGGAGGGCAAGCAAGATCTCTTGTCAGGTACTAACACACTGCCAAGGTATGGGCTTCAGAGGTCGTCTCTCCCAGTTGGAACCGGCATGATATACAACAAGCCGTGCGTCACAAACCATAGCTCTATCCTGACCGGAAATCGTTATATACTGGCTGAGTCTCCTGATATACCACCGGGCCGCGGGGTGATCACGTCAGACACATGTGCAGACAGGAAAAGCTGGACAGTCATCATCATATGGGCACGCCCGCATCCGGAGCGCCAGAGATAACTTAGACAAGGGTGTGGAAAAGATCAACGGCCTGGCCGTGGCGCGTTATCATTGTTAAACTAAACGTAAGACTGAATGTATGAAAAGTGCTAGATGCGTTTTGTTTTTCTTCTGACAAACAGATATCCCCTGCTCCACCTCCCCACCCGAGCAGCGTGTTGAACCTGCGTAAGCGTAAGGTAGGTAATCGTGGGTTGCATTGCTATGCAGGTGCCGTTCCCTGAAGAGTCCCCGAAAGCCGGGCGTCGTGTGGTACTGCCGTGTCGTGTATGGCCGTGCAGCTACCTAAGCAAGTGAGCGCTTGCGCTTGTGCTCGTCATGGTCGCAGTGCCACTCGATATCAATTCCCTCGCAGTTGTATGGCTCATGCCCAAGATGGCACTCGTCCCATGGCTCCCCCATGGTGGTCGGATCCACGTCCGGTGGGCAGCAGAACTCGCAAGCATCATGGCCTGTCGAGCAGCCAGGCGGAGCGATACAGCTCTGGCGCTTCAGCTGAAGACCAGAGCCCGAAGTCTCAGGAACGGCATTTCGCTTCTGTTTTTTCGCGTGTGCGTCGCAGTGCCACTCGCCCCAGCCAGCGTCCTGGCAGCTATTTGCCCCGTGGCCCGCGTGGCACCACTGGTTCGCATTGAATCCCGGCGGGCAGCAGAACTCGCAGGTCTCCTGGCCAGGCTTGCAACCAGAGAGGAGTAGCATGCCTCCATCACTGCACTCCTCGCGCTTCAGCTGGGAGAGGGAACCTGTTGATCCAGGAGCAGCGGCGACCTGGAGCACCAGGCCCATGGCGGCGAGGAAGAAGGTCCGGGCCAACATGTTGGCTGGCTTGATGAGATTGCCGAGGTAGGATTGACAGAGAAATGTAACGTAGGTAGGGTGTGAGTTGTATGCTTGAGCTGTTGGTTGGAGTCTCTGAGATTGAGAAGAATGAGTTGTCAATATCCCTCATTGAAACTACAGATTTACAGGATGACGGTCTGCTTTTTATCCTCATTCTTGCCTCTCCCTCGATGCCTGACCATGACGGTACTCTCCCCTTCCACGAGTACCACTGCTGCTTGCCGAGTGTTGCCAAGTTCTAATTTAGTTACACCCGACTCGCATCCACTGCCGTCAAACGATGGGTCGCCGTCGAGATGCGATGGGCTTGACAGTAACTACCTGGCTCTCGAGCGGGTGTGCAGTGGGTGTAGTCAATGCAGTAAGCGCAAGGGAAATGAACCTTACCGGAGCGAACCTGGAATGGTCAAGGTCTGACTGTTGTGTATGTACCTTGATGGACACTCTGCCCCTCCTTCTACACTCTTACGGAAGGTGAACCTTTGAGCCCCTTCCCAAGCTACCGGCGCTTTAATATTGCCAAGCAGTTCTGCCTGCAGAACTTTGCGTTCCTCCCCACGCTTGCTCTTGCCATTTCACCCAATTCTGGCATTTGGTCCAACCTTGAAGTCGGTCTATTGAAAGCCTAGTAAAGCGAAGAAGGTCTCGGCGCGGCCGACCGCTCAGCGGATGCGAATAGGCGAGCCGAACATGCTAGAAAGCCGTGAACCGTGATGTCCATGACTCCATCTTTGGCTGTGGTGGCTGTTATGACAGTCAACTGCTGATGCCCGTCATAGCTGATGGCATGCCATGCGGGAAAAACTGGCGTTGGTGACGTCTTGCAGAAAGACCTTGTGCTATTCAGTTGTGGCACTCGGTGACCAAGGTCTGGGTCTGGGCCGGTAGTATAGAAACCGAGCACCTCGCGCTGAGCGGATGGGGTCGGTGTGGTTGCTGCACCTTCCCTTCGCTGCTTCTTTCCACGAGGGACTCTCATCAAGCAGCGTTGAGACCTGCCAAACCTTAAGCTCCTCTCTGTTCTGAACCAACAGCAGAGCCAGACAAGCAACAGCTATGGGTACCATCCGGCCGCTCTTGCTGCTGGTCGCGGCATTGTGCCGTGCGAAACTGGCCGCTGCGGCTCCCCAAGCCAGCATCCCTCCGTCTCCAACCGGATTGGACTGCACGTAAGTCAACTTGAACCAAATTGCCCATGCTGGCTTCACCAGGATGCAGACTGACCTGCGTTGCCCATAGGTTCCACGAGGACCACTGGGACTGTACCACCCCCTGCGTGACGCGCACCACAACACGCTATGGGATAAGCACCACCGTCACCAACTATGCCTCCTTCATTAGCTCCATGAACAGTGCCTATTCAACCTCCGGCGTGCCGTTCTCGGGCCCTAGCATCCCAGTTTACACCACCACAGCCACCTTCGGAAACGGCGCCCAAGTCACCGCTACGGGGTTCTACAACTCCGAGGCTTTGGCAAGCGCTGGCTTCAGCTTCGTCACTACGGTAACGAACGTTGTATCCTGTCCGCCCACGACTACGCCGACCTTGCCGCCGTCGCCTACAGGATCTCTTTGCTCACCCCATGGTGACCATTGTAAGACTCGATTCCTTTGCTGTTCCTTGGGAAGGCTGATTGCTGACTGCGTCGTCAAGGGCACTGCGAACCATATCCGTCAACTACCACCGTTAGCTCATCGGTAAGCTCGGGCTTGACCACAACGCCTACTGGCACTTGCGAGCCCCATGGCGATCATTGGCATTGTCCGTCAGGCGTGCCGGAGCCCACGACACCCCCTCCGCAGTCTTC